CGATTTGGTACCGTGAGGTATCGGTACCTCAAGATACTTTTTTCTGGACTGGAGCAAATCTCTTATACTCCAATCTTTTAAAGGTATTGCTATTAGTAAGTGTTAGTATGAAATTTTTTTTGAAAATATACTTCTTTTTTTATATATTTTGTGATTATATACATGCATGAGATTAATTTGTAAAAATATACCCAATCCGTAAAATAGATGCGTGGGAACGAGGACGACCCGTAGAATAGAGGTGGGGGAGCGAAACCCAAGCCGGTCCCGCGGAACCAGGATGCGGGACCGAGCCAGTGCCGCAGGCCGGGGAGGCGGCACCTGGAGCTGGCGCGCTCCCGCACGCCGGATGCGCGGGACCGGCTCTCCCGCATGCGTCATTCCCCCAAAATAGCTAATACATCTCCGCACGAAAAACGGAGCAGTCCATTAGCATGTGATTAAAAATGGATCAATATAATTTTTTTAAGCAACTTTCATATAGAAACGTTTTGCAAAAAGTACACCGTTTAGAACTTTAAAAAGCGTGCGCAGAAAAAGAAGGAGATGAGTTGGAAAAATTGGGGGAATAACACAGCCGACCAGGTCGGGGCCGGCACGGTCCCGTGCCACCGTTCTGCGGTACCGCCGCGCGGCAAAGGGCACCATCGCTCCCGCGCATCGGTACTGCGGTACCGACTCGGTCGCGCAATCTAGCCGTGCGGGACCAGCTCGGTCGCCGCGCGACCGGCTCGGGTTCCGCTCCCGCATCCCCAGACTGCGGTTTGCACTCGCTCCCGAGCAACCGTTCCGCGGATTAGGTATATTTTTGCAAATTAATTTCAGACACGTATATAAATGTAAAATATGAAAAAACAAAGTATATTTTCAAATTTGATTCGTGTTAGTACGAGGTATATACTTCAATACTCTGTTGAGAAGTATGGCCGTATTTTGTTTTTTTGGCAAAAACATTTTGACGTATACGGACACACATTTGAAGTATTAAATGTAGGCTAATAATAAAACAAATTACAGATGCCGCCTGTAAACTGCGAGACGAATCTATTAAGCTTAATTAATCCGTCATTAGCAAATATTTACTGTAGCGCAACATTATCAAATCATGGTATAATTAGGCTCAAAAGATTCGTCTCGCAATTTACATATAAATTGTGCAATTGGTTTATTTTTCGTCCACATTTAATGCTTCATGCATGTGTTCAAATATTTCATGTGATGGAAAAGTTGGAAGTTTGAAGAGAACTAAACATGCATGTGTCCAAACATTTGAAGTGAGAGAAAAGTTGGAAGTTTGAAGGGAAATAAACACGGCCTATATCACTCCTTCCTAATGCTATGAGGTATTTTTTTTTATAGAGAAGGGTATTTTTACCCGGCCTCTACATCCAACCGGATACATACGGCCATCGAAATAGAGAACTTAGTCCCGTAAACAACCCAATCTGAACTTAGCCCCAAAATAGAGAACTCAGGACCTTGAAATACTACTCAGGTCACTGTAACCACTAGACTATGACACCTATATACCTTCCAAGTACCCCATCGTCCCAAATAAACCAAGCTCGCAAGTGAGCTATGGGCACACTTATCAAGCTCGTAAGTGCTGCAATTCTGCAAAAGCTTTATATATTTAACTTTGTTATAATAATTCTTTAAAACCACACTTTCAGCTTTGTAATGATTAATTCATTCATTTCTACACTAGGATATTATTAAAAAAAAAAGACAATCCATCATTCATTCGGCTGAAAATAACTAGGCACAATCGCACGTCAGAAATGAAAACAACATATTTATTCTTGCCAAGTTTCACTCCAAAGTTGGAAGAGACATCACATCGGATTCACCGAGACGAACACCTTGAATGCATCATCAATCAGCGGAGAATGCTATCTATCATGCTGAGATGCGTGGCATTATTCCAGTCCAGGCAAAGAATCTCCACCCTGCAGAGATCGAGCTCATCGCCATCGCCATGGCTGGCAACGAAGCTGATGACCATACGAGCGCAGCGGCCACTGTACTGAGAGAGTTGTCGGGGACTAGGGTGGAGGTGGCGCGCGCCCGCGAGGCGGCGGTGAAGGCGTGGCTCTCCGCCATGCCGCTCGGCGAGGAGCTCGAGAGGCTCCGCGCCGAGCTGGCCGCGGCCAAGAACCGCCTCGCCGCGACGGCGGCGGAGATGCCGCCGCTCAAGTCCGCCATCGCGTCGACGAACGACGCCGCCGTCGCGAGGAAGGAGGCGGCGGGGGAGAAGCGGGCGGCGGCGGAGGAGCTCCGGCGCCGCGTTGATCGCGCGCGCGACGAGCTGCGTCGGCTGCGGTCGGAAGCCGCCGCGGCGAGGGAGGAGATTGGGGCGGTGGAGCGGCGGGTGCTCGTCCGGCGCCAGGCCGCGCGCGCGCTGCAGCTGGCCGAGCGCGCCGTGGCGGCGGAGGCCCACACGCTGGCGTGGTCCGCGGCCGCGGCCGCCGAGCAGGCCGCGCGCGCGCCGGGCGCCGGCGCCGACGCCGCACACCACGACGTCGTGGCTCTCCCGGCGCGGATGCTGGAGGAGCTGCGCAGGGGCGTGGAGGCCGAGGAGAGGAAGGCCGAGGCGCGCGTCGAGGAGGCCGAGGCTCTGCGCCGCGCGGCGAAGGCGCGCCGTGCCGCGGCCGCGGCGAGGCTGGCCGAGGCGCGCGCCAGGAAGCGGGAGGCCGCCGAGCAGGGGCGCCGCCGCGACGCCGAGAACGAGCGCGGCGACAACGCGGCGAGGAGGAGCCGGAGCGGCGGGACTCGCCTCGCCGCGAGGAAGCTACCCAGCTGGCTCTGCGCCGTTGGCCGGAGTGGCGGACGTTCCCAAGCAACAGCAATGGCGGCGCATGGCACAAACAGATGACTTTCTCAGTATGTGCGACATCATTTTTTTTTTAAAAAAAAACATCATTATAAACGCAAACGCTCATAACATGTGTACACTTTTGTTTTGGTGAGCGATGAAATCCTGATGTAATGGTTACGGTTGAACTTCCTTAACTTTTTTATTTTGAATTGTTAATTTTTGAGTGAAGTATGGATTTCTCTTTGAGATCAAGATTGTAAGTTTTTTCTCGGTGTTTTCAGTGAATTTATTCCCTTTGAAATCTATAACTAATATAAATATTTGGATTTTTCCAATCGTCACCAAAATTTTCGGTCCGCCAATCCGTTTTCGCCGCGCCGCGTGAGTAACTTTCCTATTTTTTAGGCTTTCGTCCACAAGTGACGCCCTCCGCCCTCGCATGTATCACACGACGAACAAAGAACAAAATCGCTCAATCGAAAATCGGAAACAAAGTCCAAATCAAAACCTAATCACTACCCTACTACAAAAATAGACATTATTGCCGGTTGGGAACCGGCCTTTGGTGGTGATATGATTTGCAAAAGAAAAAAAAAAGCAGGCTCGGCTCGAACGCTTCAAATCCGTAGAAAATAAATCTAAAAGCGAGAGAGAAAAAGAATCACAAAGTTCATAAATCAAGTGGATGATTCCAACAAAACAAATCACATAATATACACATTAAATAATCGATCACACATCACATAATCAATATTACAAAATTTATCACACGAATTTAGAAATTCAAGACCACTTGCGGCCGTTGCTCACCGTGGAGAATTCCAGCCACTCGTTGCCCTGCAGACAACCGCTTCCGACGACATCAGAGGGATAGAGGATGGGGGAAGGGAGAAGATGAGGGGGGAAACTGACCTTTGGCATCGGTGTCGGGGATGACGCATGCCTGGTGTTGTGATGAAGACAAGGAAGAGGCGGCTCCAGATCTGGTGGAGGCCGCCATCATCATGTCGCCGGGGAGTGGTGAGCCGTTGGCTTCACCGCAGGGAAGAGACAAGTCGGGGAGTAGATAAGGCGAGCCGCCGTCGCTGAGAAGTGACGAGCCGGGGAGTGGAGAAGGTGCGCCGCCGTCGTGGGGAGAGAAGGCGTGCCGCCGTCGTGGGGAGTAGAGAAGGCGCCCGCCGTCGCTGGGGAGTGGCGAGACGAGGAGAAACTAGGGTTTTCGCCGACAGCCGGGAGGGATGGGGTTTTGTCCATCAGACGTCAGTGCCCGGCTGTCCGATAGAAACCCTATGATCGGACAACCGACACCAGCCCAAGTAGAGGCGCGCATGGGGTGGCTTCCCCGGCCTAGGCCCAGGTTGTGGCCCGGGGTGGTGGGAGCGCCCGCACGTGCGTATAAGAGGCCGTGGGCCAACCGGCCAGGCTGGAAAAAAGTCTATTCTAGGTCCCTCGACCGAAGAAAAGAAGTTTAATTCTATATCTTAATCTTAACAACTAATTAAAAGATTCGTAACTTTCCGTTCGTCACAAGACGGACGAAGACCATAATTAAAAATAAGAAATATTGAAATAATAATAGCACAGACTCATGGTCACCGCTGTCGCGGAAGGCCAGACACAGCTGCTACCTACGATGCTACGGTCGTCGATTGGTCTGATGTTGCTCGCTGGTCAATCGTGGTGCTGAGCGACCCCATAGATCTACCCATATCTTCAGAGTCCATGTTAACTTGCCCCGTGTAAAGGTGGAAATCAAACCGGCTTTGTCTTTTTTTTATCTCCCTTTCTTCGATTTTTTTTGAAAAATAATTTATTATGAGCTACTATATTTCTCTCTGTCATTTAAGACTTTTTCTAGCGAGCAAAAGTACCAAAGTAGTGTGGAAATAACTTTGGTTAAAAATAAATATTTTTAGTTTTAGTCACCGTAGCGAAGCATTGGCGTTTTGCTAGTGATTGTTTAAATTTCGAAATGCAGTGGTGGCCCAAATGGACTCTCTATAGCTTGTTGGGCCTTAAAATTTCGTCTTGAAATCTAGCCCATCTTGCTATAGGAAGTAGACAATTAGTAGATGCAGCAGTATTATTAGCTGTCGGGATTTGCTCTTAACAGTAGTGATTAACTGTAATTAATCATCCACGCCACTAATCTCGCCAAGAAGGTCGTAAGCAAGACTGACAGGTGGGCCCCACAGAGCAGTCAAAGCACCCACTGCTGCCTCGCGTTCTCCATCTCCTCCCCTCACGCACCCAGACGACGACGAGATGGATTTCTCCGGCGGCGGCGGCCGCGGCGACCCGGCACGGTGGCTGGAGATCGCCGGGAAGCTGCTCGCGGCGCGGGACCTGGTCGGCTGCAAGCGCCTCGCGGAGCGCGCGGTGGACGCGGAGCCCCTCCTCCCGGGCGCCGACGAGCTCCTCGCCGTGGCCGACGTCCTCCTCGCGTCCCAGCGCCTGCTCCCCTCCGGCCGCCCCGATCCCATCGCCGTGCTCCACCTCCAACCCAACCCCGACCCCGCCGAGGTCAAGCGCTCCTACCGCCGCCTCTCCAACCTCCTCTCCTCCAACCCTCGCCCCGGCGCTGACGCCGCCCTCCGCTGCGTGCAAGAAGCCTTCGCTCACCTCTCCGATTCCTCGGCTAATCCCGCTCCCGCTCTCGCTCCTCCTCCTGCTCCTGCTTCCGGCGGCGACGCCTCGGCCGCCGCGGCCGATGCGTTCTGGACGGCGTGTCCGTACTGCTGCCATGTGTACCAGTACCAGCGTGCTCTGATGGGGCGCGCGCTAAGGTGCCCAGGCGCCGGCTGCAGGCGCGCGTTCGTGGCCACCGAGATCCCGGCCGCGCCGCCGATTGTGCCGGGCACTGACATGTACTACTGCGCTTGGGGGTTCTACCCGATGGGCTTCCCGAAGGCCGCTGATCTGAGCACCAACTGGAAGCCATTTTGCCCCATGTATCCATGGAATTTGTCGTCTCCGCAGCAAGCGCCTGCCGATGCTGGTAATGTTAGCAAGCAAAATGTTGAGAGTAATGGTGGAAATGTTAATATTAATGTCAATACACCGCCGTCGAATGCACAGCCAGCGAATAAGAGCGGCGCCAGCAGCGGTGTTGGGGTCGGGCCATCTAGAGGTAGGATTAAGAAGACAACAGCCCGCAAGAAGGTTGGTGGTGGCTTCAAGAAGAATGCCTCTGGAGGCGTAGAAAGTGGCATTGAGCCATCGTTGCTTGGGCCGGATTCGTGGAATGGGGTTGCAGAGAGTGGATCGATGGTAGGTGCAAGAGGAATTAACATAAATGAGGTGGCAAAGGGAACTGATGGCAGCAGCATGATGCATTTCGGTGGGGACGAGGAAATTGGTTTTGATTTGGATGTCGATGCAACGGATGCTATATTGGGGAATTTGCAGCATCTGCCATTCTTGAGGGATGATGACAATGCCAGACGGTTATTTTAGTAGTTGCTGCGGTTGGTGTAGGTATTCCAAAGAAGTGGTGTATGCTAGCCTGGTTGAAGGAATTCCTGCATGGACCGATCCTCTGCTGTCGCTTTGCGTTTGTTGTCATCATGTCTCATGTTGCTCTTGTGTTCCTTGGAAATGTACCCTGTGTCTGTAGTTAGCTGGTGATCTCTTGTACCACCTGGCTGAGTAATCTTTAGTCTTTACTAGTTTGTAGACTGTAGATTATCCCCCAAATTAGTTGGGGGACGTGTAGTATTTATCAGCTGCAAATTAATTGAAGGAGTTTACTGGCGAAGGAAATAATGCACTCTGCATGCCCACATGGATGATCAGCAAGGCTTAACGAAGAGTTTATCATGCAACTGAGTCTCATGGAGCTCCGGTAAGTCAGTGGGACAAGTTAAGTTTATGTTCTCGGTTTATATAAAGCTCTTCCCTCTTTAGAAGGCATGTTTTAATTTTGTGGTGAACTTGTAGCCTGACTGAATTTGAATTGTTTAGGAGTATTACACAGATTATTAGAGTCTTATGCTTTTGATCTGCTGACATGAATACCCCTGGATATTTTGTTGAATGATGATCAATAAATCATCATACTGCTGTAGGTTGTAGTAGTTATATGATCATCCTGCTATAGGCTGTATCCATTCTTCTGGTCAACATTCCGTTTTATTACCTGTTTATAAAAAAAATATTAAACTCTCATGCATGGGGTCTTATCCCTCTTCATTTTGAGATTGCACTAGATACATCTAATACAAGTGGGTTACACTTTCTTTTTATCACTATGTTAATATGAACAATACCCTGGTAATGTGAGAAAGTCATGAATTGCACTTGAGTTAATAGAGCTCACAATCGGCAATAGCCAATAGCCAAAACACTGTAAAATAATAGAAGAGGGTATGTTATGGTTACTGGTGTTAGGGCATATTTAATTACTCGGTGGTCATGAATTTTAACACTCTCTAGACATATTATTGAGCTTGCTTGCCTGCTTTGCCAGTGTGGTTCACTCAGTTGATGAGCTGACAAATCCATGTTAACTGCAAGTTGTGTTCTTCTATGCACCCAACAAGAAGTTCAGTAGATTATAGAAAACAATTCAACCTACAGGTTAACTGCGATAAGCAAGTAACCAGTATAAATACATCGAACTCAGTAGCATATGCTGAAATTGGGATGCAACTCTTATACCAGGCTAGCAGCCTGCTGTAGCGTGTACTGTATACTGGGTTCCACCAATTGCCTTTTATGAGTGTTAACAGTTCATCATGCAAATATTTCTTATCTTAGTCAAGCGGAATGCTGAAGATGGAGCTCTGGTTACCATCTCATACATCCATGCCATAATCATCCCTGGATGTATTGCATCATGACTTATAGTGCATACCTGGTAGCAATTGGCATCTCTTTATAAAAAATTGACAAGGGAGTTTCCCTTCGTTTTGTTTGCACACATAACATCTCCTAAAATTGCATGTACTACGTTTTTAAATTTGCCGTTCTGCTCAATAGAATGATTGTGAATTTAAAGTGATGGTTATGTTCTTTTGTTTCAGATGTCTGGGTCATCTCAAAATCGCTCTGTATTTTGTGACATCAGTTGATTCCTTGAGTACTTATATCAAAGCAGCTGAATAAGAGGATTCACATGGCCTGGTTTACAGGATATCGGTAGCTTGTAATTTATACTTGTCTTCTTCGTTGTTACTTGTTAGCTAGGTTGTGGATGTCCTAAGTCCTAACTGAAAATAAGTATGGGCCATATGCATGTGTGTGCATCCTGTTTCCGTCAATGAGCAATGAAGCAGAAAATACTTCTAGTGACTATTATGTTACTTCGCCATGTTAAATATCAGACTCCAGTAACTCTTCTGAATTTCTGGTTCTTTGTGCATTAGTTAGCTACTTTTACTGTCCAGTTAATCTCCATCTTTTGCTGCTGGTATTGTGATGGTTTGTGCTCCAGAACGCTGAAAGCTGTGGTGCAGCAACTCCCTTGCCGTCCCAGTTTCCCTGTATTCTGCATGCCGTGCTAATTTTTATCTGCGAATTGCGATTTTACACCTTTTATCCATCTGTAAATTGTAATTTCCGACTGTGTTATGATCCGGTGCTCTCTGTGTACTGTCAGGCATAGCATTTCACATGCTAGTACTAGTATTTGGCTATAAATTTCTGTGATTACTCAGTGGTTGCCATGGCGTCTGTCTGTCTGAATCTTGAGCCATCATTTTACCTCAGTTTTCTGATTTTACCTCGGTTTTTATTAGCATGTTTTTCAAAAATACTAACCAGTGTGTTCTTTTTTTTTAAAAAAAATCTATATAAAACTATATTTTATGTTTGTACTATTTAAATCTCAATTAATCATAAAGATTGCCGAGTTTAATTGCAATCAATTACGGGAAGATCATTTCGAGATCTTCGAGGCTAGTCCACGAGTAAGGGTTGTAGGTCCATTACCGTCTGGCTCTTCTTTGAATCGTAGGAATGTAAATAATGTAGGAATAGAAAAAACACAAAAATCTAATATGAATGTAAGTGTAAAAACATGCAAAATTTTCAAAAGAGGTTGGAGCTCTTCCATTCCATAAGAATTTTATAGGATAACATAGGATTCAATTCTTTGTTTCAAATACCTTTATAGAAAATTTTTCTATAGGATTGGAATCATCTAAAATTCATATATTTTTTTCTCCAAATAAAAAAAGGCCCTTGATCTTAATCAACCTCAAACACCAATTCTGCTTATGGTCTGATTTTTACCGTCGGATTATACACTAACGGCTGCGATCTGCCGCATCCAGAAACCGGCGCGTATCTCAAAGACGTCGCAGGCTTTAGCTCCCGCACGCGGCACGTCGTCGTCTTCTCTCACCTCCTTCTCGCCTTCCTCCTCACTTGCTCTCCTGCTCGTCGCCGCAGCGGTTACGTCACGTCACGTCACAGCCAGGCCACGGGCGTACGCGCGCGCGCGCGAGGCCTGAGAAGCAAGGTATTGGGCTGGGAGCGAGGGGGTGGTGGCATCGCGGTGGTGGGGGGTGGAGATGATCTCGCAGTTCTTCGTGCTGTCGCAGCGCGGCGACCACATCGTCTTCCGCGACTGTAAGATCTGGATCCCCGTCCTTCTTCTTCTTGTTGTTTTTTTTTTCTTTACTCCGTGGAATTTGGCACGGTTTTTGGGTGTGATCTGGTGCTGATCTGGTTGGGGGGGATTTTGGATGGGTGCGTGTGTGGTGGGGATGCAGATCGCGGGGAGGTGCCCAAGGGCAGCGCCGAGATCTTCTTCCGGAAGGTGAAGTTCTGGAACGACGACGAGGCCGAGGAGGCGCCGCCGGTCTTCGTACGCATCCGTGCCCTTCTCTTAGTCCTCTTATTCGCACTTTATTGGTAGAAATTCTGCGGTTTTTAGCAGTGATTTTGAGGGGTTTTTTTTCCCCTCGTTTAACTGTCTAAGTTGTTAATAGTTCGGAACACTATGGTTCTGTGAATAATTAGCATTAGCTAGCGGTTGGGACAAATCACCTGATAAAATTTGATTATGTTTGGGATTGTCGTGTCCTTCATGTTTGATTCGTTTGATGTTAGTGATTTTTCCTAACCATTATGTTACCATTTGGTAGTGGGTAGTTTAGCTCTTGTTAATGCGTGATTGGTTAAGTGCAAACCTAGGATATAAGCTTTAAATGAGCTGAGATTACTTAGTGTATTACTTGTGCGATTTATTTTATTAGCACTGAAACTATTTGACTAGTGGCGGTAACCAAATTCAAGAGATGGAACTTTGGAGCTTGTGCTGCATATTACTGGATTGTGAGCGGCATTACAGCTTGCAGTTGGTTCATGTTAGTTGTTTGTGATGCATACACTGGAAACTGTTATGTTTATTAACCTGTAGAATGCCATGACCCTAGATTAAATTGAAAAAGATGGCAGGAGCCATGGTGATCCTACTACTCGTTCTGTTCTGTTTGCATCACGTTCCCACTTGTTCTCACACTGGCCTTTTATCCATTTTGTGATGGCAGAATGTTGATGGCGTTAATTATATCCATGTGAAAGTCGCAGGACTATTTTTTGTGGTAACTACAATGGTTAATGTCTCTCCGTCCCTCCTCTTGGAACTCTTGCAAAGGATTGCACGTGTTACAAAAGATTACCTTGGCGTTCTAAATGAAGATTCATTGCGGAAGAATTTCATTTTAGTGTATGAATTGCTCGATGAAGTCATTGTAAGTACTATGCACTATTTCTTCAGACAATATAACTTCCAACCCTTTGTGACCTGTATTTTTTGGATTACTAGCAAAGTCTAGCGTGTGCTTATCAGCAAAGTAGTATGGTTTTGAAGTGAGTAGTACGGTTCATCTGTTTTTGGGAACAATTGCTATCATCTTTTGGTACCACTATATGCGAATATTTATGGATTGAATTGTGTAATTTAGGACTTTGGATATCCACAAACCACCTCTACCGAGGTTCTGAAGTCATACATATTCAATGAGCCAATAATGGTTGATGCTGGTCGGCTGCCTCCACTTGGTCCTGCTGCTATGTTCATGGTAACTCTCCTGGTTATTATCACATGAAAAAACGGGTTTTGGGCTACTTTAACAAGCGCCGTATAAGTTTCCGTGGTTATCTTGTCAATGACATGGTTCCGTTGAATTTCTGTGTCTTTTGCAGCAAGGCACTAAGCGTATGCCTGGTACAGCTGTTACAAAATCTGTTGTTGCTACCGAACCTGGTGGGAAGAAGAGGGAGGAAATTTTTGTTGATATCATTGAGAGAATAAGTGTGACATTTAGTTCAAGTGTAAGTGCTGATATATACCATTCCTCTGCAGATTCTCTTCAATAAGCATTTCAAGTTGCTTTTGCTTTTCTTCATACCTACTTGAAATCCTAAATATGTTTGTGTTGTATATGATGGTTATGCGTAAGTACTTCAGTATGGTAGTTAACTGGTTATGCCCATTGGAATTTTAATTTTCTGATACCATACATAGAGCTGGAACTGATTGTCTGAGCTGTCAAAATTTAGTCTCTCTTTTGTGTTTATTCAGCTTCAACAACTAAAGGGCAGCATATCTATCTTTATACTTCTATAGCTATTATGGCTATGGTTCTCTAATAGTATCAGTGTAATGGAGAACTAATGCTTTTGTGCTCCAATCTTCTATGCATTCTGCAGGGTTACATACTTACATCTGAGATTGATGGAACCATCCAAATGAAAAGTTACCTTACTGGAAATCCAGAAATTCGTCTAGCTCTAAATGAGGATTTGAGCATAGGAAGAACTGGCTCTTCTTCGTATGGTACAATACTTGGCATATCTTCCTTTGTCAGCTGAGTTTGGAAAATGGACTTATGGTTGCATAAAGAAACATGATATGCCATTTTTCCTGTATTTCTACATCATTTCCGATCATGTATTTTGTGTGTGACATTCAAAACCACTTATGATGACACTTATGATGACCCCCGCAAAAAAAAATAAAATAAAAATGATGACACTTATTGTGAAATTGGACATATAATGAGTTATTCCATGCACGCATCTCAATGTTACTACCAGCTTAGTTCACCTATTTACATTTTAAAAATCCTACTGCATTTTCTAACTGAAGTTTCAGTGTTCACCGCCCTGTTTTTTTATGACATGAACTTCATGCACTGTGTTATTTCAATCATGACAAACTTGTTGTGCATGTTATCTTTGTCTCTGTTTACACGGTGTGGATATCATTGATCTCACAAAAACAAATATACAGATTACAGAAGTTCTTCTGGAGGAGGAGCTGTCATTCTTGATGATTGCAATTTCCACGAGTCAGTACATCTGGATAGTTTTGACATTGACAGAACTCTACATTTAGTAAGTACTGATATGATGCTTTTATTTATTTTTGTTATTTGTTTTACTTCAGATACCACCAAGATTGACATTTATATTCACCATTTAACAGATACCACCGGATGGGGAATTCGCTGTAATGAACTACCGGATTACTCAAGAATTTAAGCCACCTTTCCGTGTGACCGCACTAATTGAAGAAGCCGGGCCATCTAGGGTATGTCATGTTTGTACTGTTATCAAGTGCCAACAAAATTATTTTTTTCAATTTTCATGGATTTGAACTAAACATCTTGGTATGTGTACCCAGGCTGAAGTTCTATTAAAAATACGGGCAGACTTCTCTGCAAATGTCACTGCAAACACAATAGTAGTACAGATGCCAGTGCCATCTTACACAATGAGGTGAGCTACAGCTTTATTTGGTCCCTTTTGTGTTTGGAATTGGAAAGTGAAACGCTGCTCCTGTTAGTTTGTTACTATTAGTTGAAGAGTTATATTATGGATTACTTTGCAGGGCAAGTTTTGAATTGGAAGCTGGAGCAGTTGGACAGACAACTGATTTTAAAGAAGGATCCAGGAGAATTGAGTGGAATCTAAAGAAGGCAAGCACCAACAAACGATTTAATCTTTGCTTTCTTTCCTTTATTTTCTCTTCCTTGTTTGTTAACTAGTTTGCTGTACGCTGCTAAATCATCTTAATTTTGCACAGATCGTTGGTGGTTCTGAGCACACCCTTCGGGCAAAGCTCACATTTTCCCAGGAGTCACATGGTATAATTTTGGATTGCAGCTTTCTTGTCTATGCTCCAAGTGACTTCTCTGTTATAAAACTTATGTCACGCTTCTTCTGGAATGCAGGAAATCTCACAAAGGAAGCTGGACCAGTAAACATGAATTTCACTATACCGATGTACAATACTTCAAAGTTGCAGGTAAGGGCATCTGCTACAGTATACTACCTGGAATGCGTCAATTACCCAGGGATATGCTCAGATCTATACTTACTCCTTTAAAAGTCTCCAGTGGTGCTGGCAGTGAATCTGCCACCCCACCACTATTTATAGTTTTTTGGCCCCTGGTATTTTTTATATTATGGAATAGTCTAAATATTTGATTCAAACAAGTCAATACCATATATTCAAACATGCAAACAAATGATACTAACATATTTGATAAAATTTTTTTTGTCTATTGCATATTATAATATATTTTTATTTTATCCATAGCAAAGCTTGGGCATTTTGCTATTTAAGGAGAAAAGAAAGAAGCCCTTTTACTTAGCCCTTTTACTACTACATATGTTACCTTTAGAGCAAGTTTAATAGTATAACCGACTACTAGCTCCAAATTATCTATAGCCAATGTAATAGTCAATTCATACAATAGTTTATTACTATATTATTAATACCTGGTCCCACCTGTCATACACACATTACGTCTTATAGTCCGTGTTGCAGCTGGCTACAGATCTGTAGCCCATTGCTCTTCTCTCTCTTCCTTTATCTCTTTAAAATATGTTTATAGCTGGTTTATAGCCCGCTATTGTACTTGCTCTTAGTACCAAATGTTTTGGATGCACACAATGAATTTTACCATTTTTTAACCTGCAGGTTAGATATCTTCAGATAGCAAAGAAATCCAAGACATACAACCCCTATAGGTGGGTGAGATACGTAACGCAGGCTAACTCATATGTGGCTCGTCTATGAGATAGCGATGCTTTGTATACATCTCCCTCTGGTCATTTCCCCTTTTCCTTGCGCTATTATCTTCGAGGGACTTCAAGCAAGCTTGGACAGAGTGTCATGCATTGCATTGTAATTTTATAGAGCAATCCCAAACTTAAACTCTTCTCCTGCAGTTAATATCTACCTAGGGCAATTTATTTTTCCTTGTGTAATATGCAGGAGATACATGATCATATTTTTGTATGCTGTGAAAATGAATGAAGTTATTGTTCATCACATATATATCATGCTATATCTATGCCTAGTCAGTTTTCCGTCATTCAAGACTAGTTCTTTAGCCGTTTCCCATTATATGCCCTCGTATTTGTGAGTTCATTACTAATGAACACGAACGCAGTGCTGATTATTTACGAACAGAATAATTAGTGGCACGTAGTTGCAACTATTGCACCAAGTCAACATGAACGATAAAGTACAAAATGCATTTTTTTTCTTCTCACAGATGTACAAAACTTCTCTGTGCTCTACATTGTCGTTCTTGTTCCGTTCAATATGAAGAAAAAAGTCGCATGACTTTAGGTACATTTATGTGTGCTATGAGCCTATGAGAATCAATAAACCAAGGAATACCCCGCCTCTGTCGTTACAACAGCAGGCTTCCTACCCAAGTGTACAGCTGCAAAGCCTGCAAGAAACCGCACAACCAAGGACATTTTTTCTTCTCACCGCGTAGCCTGGAGAAGGCAAGAGGATGCCAATTTGTTATATTCGCGAGATTTATAGGAGCCATACTCCTCAAACGACATATGCATCTGTGACAGGGGGTCTGGCTTATGGTGTGTTAAATCTTCTCAGCTGTTTCTGTACGCGCCATCAGCACCTCGGTGCGTTTACTCCTTTCCATTTCTTCCACCAACCAGTCAATACCAGCTTTGATTCCCGTCCTGCATCGACAGGTATGTCAAAAAGTTTCAAAAGACAAAAAAGATAGGTATGTCAAAAACATGCCTCCTATGTGTACTGATCAAGAAGCGTTTTGAGTGGCAAGTTCTGTGTCACCCTCAAGTAATTTATGTAGTACCGGTGCAAATTTGGACAAGAGCCAAGTGATACTTAGCAAGCATGCTTCAATTTTAGGCACATATGTGTTCGGGGATTACAGGGGCCTGCTTTACTTACCCGTCGTAGGCAGATCCAGCCTGGAACATATATGGCCTCTCGTCTAACCCTTTAAGGTGAAGATGCCTAGCCAGCTCTTCCTCTGTCACAGCTGCTGGTAACTCCTATTGGCATGTGCAGATAATCCTCCAAATATGAGAATATATGGCGGCATGTGAATATTCGTAATAATGAAATGAGCTGAAAGAGCGCTCTAAAATGAATAATAAAAACAGTTCTTGGTCTTTTTCGCTTATCTGTATCTCCTTCAAGGGACTTGAAGTTTCAACACCGAGGATGAAAAGAACGGATAAACTTTTGAAGGCATTTAATCAACAATGAGGATGAAAAGAGTAGGCAGACTCTAGAAGAATTTTTACTACCAAAACACACATGGCTAATTTCCATAATTAACCCTCTTCTCACATTGTTATGCATCTGAAATCAAGTCCTTCAGAAAATCTGACCTTTTATCACACTACTAACGCAGTATGGTGTGGTTTAATTTGATGCCTACTGTGCTGGCTAATTTTTCCACAAATGGAAATTTTCATGCAGGAAGACAAAGTTTTCAACTAAGTGAATGCATGTAATTTAGTATAGCGCATAAAAGAATTTTCATACAAGTGGAAGGTAAACCACCTGCTTGTTTGCAAATATGAGTAGAGGCACTCCTTGCAGATCCTCGTGATGAAGAACTTTCTCTGCAACAAAATGCTAAATTATCATTTACTTCACTAACAAAACTAATTTGATTGTCCTAACATACTACTCGTATTTACTGTAAAACACAGTAAAGTTAACAGCAAAGTGCACAAATGTTTTGTCATAAAACAAATGAAGCCAACTTACCCAGAGCAGATTTGGCATCTTCAAATGATGATGCAGCAGCAGAGTCAATAACATATATGACAGCATGTGCCTCTTCGTAATATTTCTCCCAGATTGTTCGTAGGCCAGGCTATCCGAATATGTTAATCATGTTAGAATTTGCAAATGCATAGGTCACCTCAAGAAATGAAACTGATCCATGATGCTAAATGGTGAAGTTCCCATAAACAGACTGCTGACAGAAAGTTTTGGTCTATTACTCTGCACGGGAAACTATACCTGGCCTCCCAGATCCCAGAAAACAAGTTTTACATTGGCATCTTCAATACGTCCAATATTAAGCCCAACTGTTGGAACGATACGATCATGTGGAAGGCCTTCCTCTTTCAAATAGATTGACTTCACCTTTTCTAGCAAGGTCTACATAGTCAATTTTAACATGTCAAGTTTAGGTACAACTGTGGAGACTCAGAAAATACAAGATGAAGTGATGAACTAAACCTCCTAGTACCACACAGGAAATGTGCGCAAAAAATGTAAGAGCATAGACGCTGATTGTGCATGAGCATCAAAAGAGACTGTGCATTGTGCCGCGTTAAGCGTACAAATAGAGGGGCATAATCTAGAACTGGCAATTTTACTATTGCAGATACCACAGAGTCTATAAGCCACAGTCATAATTGTATTTGGGGTAGTGAGTAAACTCAACGTCTGAAAACAGATAGATGCTGGCACGAAAATAAACGTAAATGTAAGTTTCAGGATGATTACCGTCTTCCCAGCCTTGTGAACTCCAAGGATAACTACATGGAACTCTGCCTTGCTGAAGACATGCTGCCATAGACCATAGAACAAGGAGAACATTGTTGTAGGACTTTTCTCTCAACTATCAGCTCTACTAATGGTCCACTAACACAATACGTCCTGAAAAAAAAATGATCTCGTGTCATACAATCTTCCTTCCATAATCAACAAATTATCAAACTAAAAACCGAAGGCCCAGCCATAGCAAGTGCTATCTGTTAAACAATTAATCACATGATAATATGAGGGTTTTAGGCTTGCCAATGACCATCCAGGCACAGCATCATCAGCACACTTCCCAATCCCCCCATCCCTGCCATTTCCAACACATTCGCTCAACCGAAGCTGCACCCATCAGCTCAAACCGGTGAAACGAAGCAAATTCGGTCGAAGCGCGATCGATTAGGCATGATCCACCCATTCCCCTTCCACCCCGGGCCAGATTCCAACCTCGTTTAGGATCCCAATTGGATTCAGAGCTCCAATAAAAACCCAAATCACAAAAGCGAGAGGTGAATTCCCTCAAACCGCTAATATTCTATACTGTCACATCGCACGGCTCAACCAATTTCCCCCACGAAGAGCAAATTATTCGGTGGAAGACGACCAGAAGCGGAGCAGCCGGGGGGCGCGCGTCAAATCCGGGCCAAATCGAGTGAAAAAAAAAACACGCGGACTAGCGACATGGAAATGGAGGCGTGGAAGCGAAGATCTGGGTGCCTCACCGGAGAAGCAAAACCGGTGACGTCGTTCTCGGCCCTCGTCGGCGGCGGCGGCGGCGGTCGCCGTCGCGTGCGTTCGCCTCGTCGTCTCCGGCACGCACGCACGACAGGAGAGGAGACCGCCACTGTATCACGCGAAAAAGGTTTTATACGAATCCCCCCTCGAAAGAAGTAAAAATTATACTCCCTCCTTTTTTTAAAAAAAAGATGACGACATTGACTTTTTCTCACATGTTTAACCATTCGTCTTATTCAAAAATTTTATGCAAATATATAATATATAAATCACACTTAAAGTACTATGAGTGATGTAAATTTTTTGAATAAGACGAAAGGTCAATCACGTGAGAAAAAGTCAACAGCGTCATCTATTAAAAAACAAAACAGAGGTGGTAATAAAAAGGACGCCGTGGAGAATGACTTGGCTATGGACCGTGAGGCACTGAGACTGACATGTGGGGTACCCAGCTGTTCCGGCCCCACCTGTCAGTGAGTAGTGCAGGGGAAGATACGGGCAGCGGTGGTCCATTGACCGTATCGTGCGGGCAGTTTGTCGCCATCGTCTCTCGCTAAGGAGAGACTGACAGGTGGGACCGGATTCTGCACAAGTAAGTGGGTCCCACACGTCAGTGACCGCCGCGATGACTGGGCTTTGCCTCGAGAGTCGGCAACACGTACCTTTCCTTTCTGACTTGGCCCGTTGACATCACCTCCTCCCAATGACAGGTGGGCCATCCTCACAGCGAACGGCCCATGACAATGGGGTATGCGAAGGCCCGTATACCTAGGCCCATAGGACGAACACATTAGGCCCAATACAGCCCAAGCCCCGTCGATGGCAAAAACGTAAAATGACTTCTTCTTCTTCTTCTTCAACGAGACTCTACTACACCCTTCGACGACTCGAGATCGAGAGACGCGAGCGCGACTCTCCTCCCAGGCGGCGGCCAAGGTGCGCCTCTCTCTCTCTATCTCTCTCCTGAATTTTCTGGCCATGTCGAGCCCGATCTGTTCTCGCACGAAGAATTCTTGCTCCTGTAGTTTTCTTCCTCGCTGTAAGCTTGGTTCCGTGTGGTCCCGGTAGATTTATGCTGTTCTTGAGCGTTGAATCGGTAGGGGGATGGATACACGGGGGCGCTAGGGTTCAAGATGCTTGTGTTTGAGGTATAGAGATCTCGAGTCAGGGTCGGTTGTTTTTGCGTCTCCTTAGACGAGATCTTGTGCGATCCAGTTATGGGGAATTCTGGTTTGTGAGATTGTGAGAACGCACTGCAAGAGGTGATTCTGACTTTTATCTCCTTTTTGCTAGATGTGTATGTGTTGGTGTATGCTTACTACTAGTATCTTGGTTTTAGTATTTAGTCATGAGTTGACATGATCTCCACTCCCCAAATCCCAGATCCAGTTAGTCAGTTACGCGCTGGTGTACCTTTTGAGTTTTGAGGTTGAATTATACTGATTGAATTAGCTTGTATAGCTGAATTTGGCACCAAAAAGGGTAGTATCATAGATTTTTTTTCGCTGTTAAGTAGTATCACAAAGATTTGAAAAGCTGAAACTCTCTGTTTTTTTTAACACATAGAATGAGCAAGAGATTTCTTGTAGTTTACTTGCACTATTCCATCAGATGCTGTGTGAAGTCATGAGATGTTTTTACGGACAGTATTGTTCCGTCAATTTTAGTGGCAGACCTGCTCATGCTGTCTTGCATAATATTTTGATTTTTCTCACTATCAGTAGTCCAATGGTATGCTGGCGAAGCTTGATTGGCACTGTCTTGACTCTTGAGTAACCCGCCGTTAGGTTGTTCGTTGAAGTATTTTAACTGATTTAACTGTGGTCTGTGTTAATCAATCACTGAACAACCATAGCACATCAAAGAAATTGTTGCAATTAAACCTGTTTTGGTGTTTCTTCCTGCTCTTATTGGAGGAAGAATTAGTGACTGGGATGTGTTTGTGAACTTATAAACAAGGGATTAGTGCATCTGGTATCAATAACTTTATCTGCAGAATTACTTTAATGCTTTGTACTGTTAAATGTTCTTCTTTGAAACTACTTATATATAATTTCTTGGTATGCCTTCCCAAGTCACAAATAACAACCAGTCCTTTTTCTGCTGACATTTTTTTTTTATTTTTTTAATTATGTCTTCAGACGTGACTGACATATGCTTTCTACCTTTGTTGCAGATGTTTGACGATCAAGACTTGGGTTTCTTTGCCAATTTCTTGGGCATCTTCATATTTGTCTTGGTCATCGCTTACCACTTTGTGATGGCAGACCCGAAGTATGAGGGAAACTGATGCCATTTTTGTTGAGCAAAGGGATCATATGATCCTCAGATCAAAATAGTGCGATGTATGCCAGTTAATGATAGCAATAGTGCTTGACTGTTATTGTAAGTTCTTACGCGAAATCTGGACCTGCAATTTCTGGCATTTTGACATTACACATGTTTAATCGATTGAAATAGTGAATCCAGGATATTCCAAAAAAATTGATTATACTTATCTAGTATCTGCAATTCTGCATATGCTAGTCCGATGGGTGCTGGCTTACTCTATGATTTTTCTCTCCCCAATTTGTTGGATGTGGAAAAACCAAATCATTGCTGCGTGCCCTCGATCATGATATGTTGTTTTGGTAATTCTGAATGAATATGCTTCAATATCAGATACATGTGCAGTTCAAGTATCCAGCATATCCATGTTCAAATGCTAAAAAATCATCACCTGTTGCATTTTTAGCTCTTCTTCTTAAGCAGATTTTGCACCTGCACGATTGAAACATGGAGGATTCCAACTGCAAAAATCTCTTGGCTGGTCACCGTTCACGGAAAACACCTCGAAAATAGGTTAGCCAAGCTTACCCCGAACCATTCCTTATGCCCTAAAACTTACAAGGCCCATACCCAACACAAGAACCATCTCACACCCATTTAACTCCTCTCCTTTCTCCCACTTTCTTGGAGCTCAAACATCAAATCTTCCTGTGTGAGAGATCAAGAGAGAGGAAGTGATAGATTTTTTTTACCTGACCTAGCTGTTTGATACTTTGATTTGTTAATTTCTTGTGCATTTGCTGTTTGTGATCCGTTGCTGTGATCGATGTGCCCCTGAACGAGGTCCACGACGTCGTTGGAGTTGGCGCCGGCGAGCCGGCGAAGATGGATCGCCGCCGCGCGGCGGAGCTGATGCTGCTGTCCCTCTCCTCGCAGAGAACGCGCATGGCGCTCGTGGGTGGCAACCACACCGCCGCCCGCTTCTGCACCCGCTAACCCCGCCGCCGCCGCCGTCTCCTCCTCTTCTTCTCCCATCTCTTCTCTCTCTTGATCATCTTCTCCGTTCATCTCTGCTCTGAGTGTGTTTGATCCTCTTCTTGGCGATATTTTTGTGTTGGGATCAATGGCGACGATGAAGAAATTAGCTGCGAGGGATGGCAGGGCCGCCAGCAATGGCAGGCTCCTCCGGCTGGTGGCGCGGGCGGCGCTCCTCGCCGTCGTCGTGCTTTCTCTCGTGTCGCTCCGGCTGGTGCTCTCGCCGGCCACGGCGGTGGGCGACGACGGCGAGCTCTACCTGCCGGTGCTACTCGCCGAAGTAAGCGACCGCGGCTACCTGCGCCACGGCAGCCGCTCGGTGTTCGTCGGCGACGCCGGGTCGTGGGCGCCGTTCCTCGAGCGGCACCACGTCGCCGTCTTCCGCGCCGGCAAGCTCCGCGAGCTCGCCGACGAGTCCGTCGACGCCGTCCTCTTCGACGGCGACGCGGTTCAGCTCGGCGCCGTCAACCGCGTCCTCAAGCTCGGCGGCGTCGCCGCCGGTTTCGCCACGTCGGGGTCGTCGACGTTGCAGCTGCCTGACAACTACAAGGCCGTGTTCGCGCACAGGTCGGAGGCGGCCATCGCCTTCGCCGTGGAGAAGACCACGCCGCCGACCACGAGCGCCGCCGTGACGGCTTCGCCGGTGGGACCTCACCGGAAGCTCCTCGCATTGCCGGGGAGCAAGAAGGACGACGCGTTGGCCGGTCTCGAGGCCGTGCTCCTCGAGCCGCCGCAGAGGCAGCACCGGCGAATCATCCGGCGGCTGCGGCCAAGGTACCTCCCGGAGCTGACCGGCGACTCGCTGGAAGGCTACCGCCGACGAACGTTCATCGACGTGGCGCCCTCTCGCGGCGGCGGCGCGGCGTCGTGGTTCAAGAAGCACTACCCGAGAGGGAAGCGCGTGTTCGACATGGTGCGCCTCGACGCCGCCGACGCGACGGAGCCGGCGGCGAGCTCATCGGCGGCGGGGATCGCCGAGTGGCTGGAAGGGAACGTGAGGGAGGAGGACTACGTGGTGGTGAAGGCCGGCGTGGAGGCCGTGGAGGAGATCCTCCGCAGGCGCGCCGCCGTCCGCCGCGTCGACGAGCTCTTCCTCGACTGCGACGCCGGCGCCGGCGCCGACGCGGCGCGCCGCCCCTACTGGGAGTGCCTGGCGCTGTACGGCCGGCTGCGTGACCACGGCGTCGCCGTGCATCAATGGTGGGAGCTCATGAATGCTCGACCACGTAGAGAGAGAAAGAAGAGAGAGAGAGAGAGAGAGAGAGAGAGAGAGAGTGAAATGATGGAGCTCATGAGAGGGAAGAGATCACTTTGGGTTCAGAACAAACTATGAATATGCAGGGTACTGATTAACAGCTAACGGATAAATATATTTGGTTTTGGTTGGGGAAGAGTATAAACTTATGTAAATCAAGCAAAACAGTTGTTCCAAGATTGGACAATTTTTGGATCTTGAAATTCAACCAGCAAGTAAATATATATTCATGTATCAAGCATGTGTGTTTGGCCAAAATCATTCTTCTAGGGCATCTTTCTTATGGTACTGATGAAGACAAACTTGTACTCCCTCTATTTCCTATTTCTCCTATGTAAAGTAACATAGTTGGGCAGCAAGCACAAGAACGAATGATTCTATTTCCTATTTCCTATTAGAAGAATGCTTTGGGTTTATTTTAAGTCAAACTCTTGACTGACTTTGTAAAATATGTAGCAATATCTGTAACATCAAATTAGGTTATTAATTCTACCATTGTTTTTTTTGTTAGTAATGGTACTACAATTTTCTAAAAGCTTAATCAAATTATGAAAGAAGTCGTATATGCTAAAAGCTCTTTCAGGACTGAGTTTCACCAAGCGTGGCTTGAATCCAACAGGCTATAGCACGCAAGACACATGCATGGAGGCCCAGCCCTTACTTAATTTTCTCACATCTCCAGGTCCAGTGGAAGCTGAAGTAGACCTGCCCATCTTGAGCTTGTCAATGGAACAGTAGATAGAGGGTTGTACAGATTCGTTGTCCATTAACTAGTGGAAGCTGAAGTAAGGTAGACATGTTCCAATCATTTGTCCCTAAATCTTGATCAAATTTTAAAAAGTTCCGACTAGAAAAAAAATCAAATCAACTTATAATATAAAACGGAGGGTGTACATCACGTTGTAAAATGGAACCCACCACTTCTTTAGAGTTGCCGTTAGTGCCATCTGTCAGGATCTACTTTTATATACGTAGTTTTTTAAGGTTTATTTGAAAAATAAGTTTTATAAAAGGTTTAAATGTCAAGATTTCCCGTACAATAATATGTTCCAACCACTAATCGTGTAAATCTAAATAGGATGGAGGTCCAAGGTGGTCGCACCCCAGGTGCGGAATTGGGCCTAGGTGTTGGGTCCCAAAACTAATGATTCAGAAACCGACATATTTAACTGTATCAAGCCCTGAATCGGTAGATTGATACAGGTTCAACAATCTGGATCTTTATCGCATACATTTGGTCAAGACTCCAAAGGAGATATATTTATATAAAATAATAGGACATTTACAAATTTGTGGCTAACTATTACAGCAGAAGCTATACTGTGACCCAATTCTGCCGTTTTACTATAGAATTAAACCGTCTAACTATACTAGACTTGAAGACTAGTTTTAAAGGAAACTAACTTATGTGATTGAACTCCCAGCTTCGGCAAAAACTCCAAATAGACTCTGAAAAAGAGGGGTTGAAGTAAGGATAAGTACAACGTACTAAGCAAGCTATTATATTATTCAACAATGAATGCATGAGAGGTAATATCTGTGTAGAGCTAGATTTACTTGCAGAAAGCAGAGAATATAGAAGTAGAAAACCTGTAATGTTTTAAATGCAGAAGTATTTAATAAAATTTCAAATTAGGTTTCTATCCAAGATGCCATAGTGAGTCCCAATGCCCGATAACCGCGAGCACGGCTATTTGAATAGTTTTGAGGATATTCATACTGCAGTAGATGTACGCTTTACCCGCAATCCATGACGTGCCAAACACATTAGCCTTGTTATGGCAAAGCTTTTCGGTTACTAACATCAGTGGTACCTGTTCCATGAACTATAATCCCCATACGCTCTGAACGTAACATTATCAGCAGTGAGAGGAGTTATGGCGTTCCCGGGGTCTTTAGAGAGATCTGATTGTATGACACCATGTCATCGCAATCAGGGTTCACAAACAAGTCACATGACATCATAATTTATCTCAAACAAATATTTACCTGCGCCTCGGTAAATATCACAATATTGCCCTTCGCGGCATAAATTTGCCTCCTGCGCGAGGACTTAAATAAGAACCACTACACAGAGGTACCACCTTTGCTAGATAACTTAATCAGCTAGGTCTATGCCCATACGAGAATTGCGGTCGTACTCGTATGTTCTTCACATGTACTTGGTAGTCTTATGTCGGTTGGAACAGTACTAGCCACCCGGAAATCAACCATTTCTACCGTACTGTCCCAATCTAAGTTCATTATATTTTATGCAGTCTAACTAGGCAGGGCTAAGCAAAAGCTAGCATATCTGGTTTGCTATGTTCAGGTTATGCATTTGAAATCATGTATGACTAATGCATAGAATAGAGATATAAGAATATATGATCATTATGCTCAAAGGGGAGGAATAATAACTTGCCTTGCTCTAACGCAAATAAATCCAAGATAGGCAACCTGATTATCCGATTCTCGAAATACCAAAGGTTGTCATCCAAAACACAATAAACTCTACTGAGAAAGAGGAAGAACCAAATTCAATAAAAGCCATAAAATAATAAGAAAACGATAAACAGCTTAAGAGGGCTAGGGTTTAAGGTATAACCTATCTCTTTTGTAGGGCATAGGGATTACTGGGCTAATATTTTATGTGGAGGTTCTAGAGGGTTGGAGGCTAAGGTAAAGAGGGAATCAAGCAACTAATGTTGCTTATATTTTATGTGAAGGCTCTCGTGATTTGGATGATAGGAAATATACTGGATAGTTGATATGGTTAAATAGGTATGTGGCTAATATGGGTCAAGGTTGGGCTTTTGTAGAATAGTGGCTAGGGTTTAGTTGTTTAGGCCGATATCGAGGTAGGATAAATATCGGCTAGGGTTTTAGGTGTTTGCTAGTCGTCGCTAGAGTTGGACAACATAACGACTAGATTTGGTACCATTTCTAGCCGGTGTCGATAGACAGCATATCGGCTAGAAGAATAGGAGGTGGGTGCAGGTTTAGTGGGGTGGAAGTGTTACTCCGACAACCATGAGTGGCGGCGGAGCGGCTAGGGTCACACAAAGCTCGAGAGTTAACTGTGCGGCGTGCAATGGAGGTCGAGAGGATAGTGAAGCTCCGACCGCTATACGCATCAAGGTGTGGGGTGCCAGGAGCAGCACTTCGACCTTGGGTTTGGTTTTTGCCGGGCTTTACAACCAACGGTCCGACGTAGAGGTTCGTAGACCGCGCGAACGTCCCCATGGAAGGCGTAAAGTTCCAACCGATGGCCTTTAAGTGGCTAAAGGGTATTTTGGAGATAAAAGAAAATATTTGAAAAGCAAATATAAGTTTAAGTTGTAAATTCAATCATAAGATTAAATCAAATATTTATTCAAATGGTATTTGAATAAATTAAGGAAATTCAAATAAAATATTAAAATAGCAAATTTGGTATGAAAATGAAGAGTTTGAATTTAGATGAATTTAGGTCCAAATTTCACTAGAATCGGATCTACAGTTTAGGAGATATGGGCTTCTAAAGATTGGATTTTGAGTTAAATAAAGAAAAGCGAAATAGTACTGTGCAGGGGCCCACCTGTCAGTATCTTTTCTTTTTCTTTTTCTCCTTCTTCCTCCCGTCTCTTCCTTCTTTTCTCCTCTTTCCAGCACGAGCAGCAGAGGAGAAGGAGAGGAGGGGCGCCGGTTTTCCGGCGGCTGGAAGATGGCGACGCCGGCGGCGGGTGGTGTTCCCGAGCACAAAGCATCCGGGGAGTGCGGTGGCTGGCGGAGAAAGTGAAGGAGAAGGCCGAAACGGCGACGACAAGAGCTCGACCGTGGCAACAAAAGGAGTGGCGGTGGTGGCTTGTTGTGGGGGCTAAAAGAGAGGGGAAAAGGGAAAAATGGGTTCACCTCGTCGAGGCAAACATGATGGCGCAAGGACTTGGCTTGCAGAGCTGTGGAAGAGGAGATCGGCCAGTGGCGGCAATGGCCGGTCATGAGAAGAGAGAGAGAGAGAGAGAGAGAGAGAGAGAGAGAGAGAGCTTGGTTTATATGTAGAGAAGGGGAGGGATGGCCGGCTATTTATAGGCGGTGGAAGTCGGTTTGGAGGAGGACGGCAAGGAGGGTCACGACGCCGGTGGAGTGGAGGAGAAGGAGACGGCGCCGGCTTCGTTTTCTTAGCGGCGACGGAAGGGAGTTTGCGGCGGCGTGCGCGTGTACAACACGCGCACCTGCAGGAGGAAGGTGGTTTGGCTTATGGGCCGATTTGGGCTGAGGGGAGAGATGGGCCAAGGGAAGAAGGAAAGGAAATTTTGGCCCGATGACAAAAAGAAAGTCTTATTTGAATACATGATTTGGATAACTAGGTTTTGCAAAGAATTTGAATTCGGAAAGGGAAATTTATTTGGGTGCAATATTTAGAGGTGGAGTTTGAGGGAATTTATTTGGAAGCACTTAAATAGGAAGGGAAATTAATAATATTCCTCAAAATATTTTTGGGAATATATAGAAGGGAATTAGTTGAAGACAATAAATAGGATACCAATTCTAAAATTGGTATTATGTATATTTGTGGCTAAAAGGGAAAGTTGAATGAAGAGTATAAGTTGGAATTTTCTTAGCACAAGAGCAATTATTCACAATATTTGCAATAATACAATTCTTGTGCCGAAGAGGAAATTAAGCCACAGAGATTAAATTGGTGACTAGATCAAAAGGGGGAATTTGGATATTTGGATCGAGAATCAAAGGATGGGTTTAAAATCAAAGGACGGGCTAACAATTAATTCCAATGAGATTGAAATTACTTTGGTTTAGGTTCAAGGGTAAAATTGGAGGATTTCTTGGACCATAATTCATAATAGTAAAAATGGTTTTCAAACTAAATTTGAATAAAAGAGTTTTAGTCGAAAGAAGGTTTAATATTCAAAAATAGAGTTCCAACAAGAAATACCAAATATGTTTTTAAATGAAAAGCACAAAAGATGTTAAATAGCATAGAGGTTTTTATACAAGTTAGTTTTAGGAGGTCCCGCTAATTATATTTTCCTAGGTTTAGAAAGTTATTAAGAACATAAGAATCAGCATGATGCAATATTAGAAAAATGACACATTTTCAGGATGTTACAAATTTACCCCCCTTAAATAAATCTCGTCCTCGAGATTTCTGAAGAGTCCATGTAGAAGTGTGGAAATCTTATCTTTTCCAAAATTCCAGATATCTGTTTAATTAGTCGGTTGATAACTTCATGTTTTTGTTGCATAGTATTCACTCTAGGTCTTTGATGAGTTTTGTATCTTTTCCTTGTACCTTTCGTTCCTTAAAGTATTTCTGGATCATCTCTTTGATATTCCTTTATCAACTCTTCTTGTAGTTATTCTGGCATTGTTTCTTGTTGTCTTTGTGGTATAAACTGGATTATAAAAAGCTGTAGATCACTTGATTAAATCTCATGTGATTCAATGTTTGAGGATCCAACACTTAATAACTTGAACATGTTGTAGGATATTTCTGTCTAGGATTTAATCTTCCTTGCACATATATGTGTAGCGATGATACTCGTCGAGGAGGTTTATTATGATCTTTTAGTTATTCTGGTCATTGGGGTGTATCTTCGGAATAGGGCTGATGAATGATCTTCGTTTGATGGCTTTAATGTCTTCTTAGACAATATTTTCTTCCAACCTTTTGTAACAATTCAACTTAGATTTCTGAATCCTAATCTTGTGTTGTTTCATAATTCCCTAATTGTTCGTAGTTACCAATCCTCTTCTTATGCATTCCCTTACGATATTTCTTGCGGTAACTGCGTACGGTATTTCTACGATGATTGCTACATCACAACTTCTTGAATGGTGTCGAACATTGAAGTCGTATTTTCTAACTATATCTAACCATTTCCTTCAGTACAAATCCATGTAGCCCGGTTGTCCTCACACGGCCCCATCCATCTGTATCCCGTCCGTGCGTGCGCTCGTCGCGTTCGCGTTCGCGTACACCGCCGCGACGCATCCGGCCAAGCGGCGTCTTTGCACATGGCAGGCCGCAGGATCGCGCCGCGCGCTGCCACGCTACGCTAGCGAAGCGAGCCTCCCGCCGGTGTCGATGCCTCGCCCTCGCCAACGACACGCCGCAATCGACAACACCCCAACCCGCACCCGCGGGTCCCCTCCCTCTTCATCAGTCATCACATCTTCCCCGCGGCGAGCTGTGCTGTGCTGTGCATCCTGCCTGCCTCCTCCTCTGATGCCGCCTGCAGCGACAGCCTTATGGCTTGCGAGAGAGTTGAATACTCCTCGTGCTCCTCTGCACGCGGCGTCGCAGCGATGGACGGGGAGGCGGTGGTGGTGCAGCGCCCGTGCAGGTGCAGGGTGCAGGCGGAGGCGAGCTGCCACTAGCTGGGCTGTGGCTGCTGGGGTCTCTGCTATGGTTTTAACTGCCCTGAAGCGTTCACTGACGCAGACAAAAGACTCAGCAGCAGCTCGCACGCTACTGTTCCCGCACAGCACCGTAACCGTGACACCATTTTTCTTTTTTGTTCCTTCGTAGCAGCATCGATTATTACACGTATAGGTAATTAAGGGTATGTTCAGATTTGATACCAAAATGAACCTTCCTGAATTTTGATAAATTGACAGCATTGCCATAGGATTGACTTAATAATGTTGCCAAAATTCTTTACACATTGCCAATTTTTGTGACAAACTAAACATGATACTACCGTGAATCAACAAGGGAAGAATCCTACGGTAAGGGGGGGTTGGACAGGATTCACCTTTCCGACTGAGTGCCGGATGCTGGATATTGAATTTATCATTTTAAATTTGAATTCTCGAAAACTATTCGGAATCACGCTCGGAATCTATATATTCGTCCCACGTTCGAAAGCTCTAGATTTTGTGGTTCGTTAACCCTTATGGTCCAATGGATTAATCAAGCGCGACAACAACAGCTGGTTCGGCAAAAAAAAAAAAGAAGAAGAAGAAGATTTGAATGATAAATTACTCTGATGTTAATTCATCCCTTAGTTCGATTTTTTTTTCAAGTGCTCAAATCGGTCCAAATGGTTTTGCCGCCTTGCATGATATACTGTACTATACTAATAAACTGGTATCTCCTGACAACACAAGTTCAGGTCAGGCTCATTTAAATCATTTGCCAATCACGTTCTCAGTACAGTACTTACTGATCTAATGCACTGTGGGTATGTATACAAGGACAATGTACTATGTTTGGTAATCTCGGGTAGTCAACGTAACGGCAAGCGATGAAAATCTTTCCATGGATACTAATGCTGCAGTTTAATTTTATTCCGGGAGTAATCAAGCACAACTAGTACATGACAAGACAATATTGTGGAAAATTTACACCCATTTGGAAATATCACGTGCTAATGCAACAGGGTCACCTGTATCTCTCTGTGTATCTAAGTAGTACAGTCAACAAAGAAAATCCGTTTAGGACAAGTTCTGTACTAGTACTGTATTATCAAGTGCAGATTTACTGCTAATGCGATCAGCAACAATACGGGGTACAGTAAGTACTAACTAATGCTAAGGAGGAAACTATGCATCCGGATCTTATTGTAGCAAATTAAGCACTCATCTCAGGTTGAACAACTAGCTTAGCTACTTGCCGATTTGAGGATTACATAATGATAAATTTATTTCTTGAAATATTTTATTTGTATCTATAATTTAATTTTTTTCGCGAATGCGCAAAAGAATTGCACGTCAATATATTAGAGGGAGTATCTATAATTCAATAGACAATCCATAGCTAATATGGTGAATAATCTGTTTCCATACCTTATTATTCTACCACAAGATCCGTTGGAAAATTTGCAACCAAAAAAAAACAAGAATTGAGACTTGTACTATCAATTTTCAGGGGCTGTGAGCAATATGTGCAATTATGGGATGTATTTTTTTAAAATAATTTAATGTGATATATTGGCTCAATTGGGTCTGGCCAATGCCAGGAGCCCAGGACTCAGGACCCTCTCATGACAAGCATGCATGCATATTTATCATGGGTCCACAGTACAGAGACCATGGCAGGTGTGAGGACTGAAGTCTTCAACTCCTTGCATTGCATGAGTAAAATAGCAGTTGGCATAGCTGCAGCCTCTTCTTCACCCATTTCAGGGGTTGTCTTCACGGACACTGTCCCTCACAATATGAAAAAGAACTGCAGCCACCAATAAATTTTCATTGCAGGCTTTTTACCAGCCTTTTTAGGTGAATTTATTGAGCCATTCATTCAATCAGTATCACCACTACCATGAGAGAAAAAAAAAAGGGGGGGGCAGATTTAGGTGAGGTTGTCATTGGAAAATCCTACACGTCTGTCCCTGAACAGAAATTCAGATACTCAGGTGACACGTTTTATATTGAAATTTAGTACTTGGTGAGACTCCATGATAGGTTTGGTTCTCATGAACCATGAGGCATGTATGCTCTCCTTCTGTCTTATTGTCTCTTTAAACTGTTTGATTGGGAAATTTTGATAGATAATAATTGAATCCATTTGTGATGTAAGAATTTCAAAAGAATCAGCCCATTTCACATAAAAATCAGAAAAAAGTTACTACAGAAGAGAAGGCAATGAAAAGAAATCAAAACGATTTTCAGTGGGTGGTGTGGCACGCTCACGGTGAGTTGTAACGACAACATTGTTCATGTGGAGTTGCGGGATTGGGATTCGGTAACATTCTAGGTGACTCAATGTCACCGAGAATGTCATGGGGGAATGTCACTGAATCTGTGTTCGGAGTTGCGGTGCCTAGCGGCACTTCACCGTGACCTGTGGTGAAAGATCATCATATATGATAATTAATTTTTAGTTATACGATGATTAATATGGAAAGGAGGAATTACATTATAAAGTTCACGTTACAATTGGGGGCCAATAAGAGCCAAAACACATAGACAAGGTCATTGAAAGGTATGATTCCATCATTAGTTTAGGGGTTTAAACAGATCGTTGGAATTGCATATTGCCAATAGTTATCAATGCAAATGGGAGTTCAGACATGGGACCCATTTGTTTGTACCTACTTTCCACCATCTCACTATCAAGATACACTGTTTGTTTATCATGTGCCATACCAAGATTTGTACTTACGATTGGTTCTCTTCATAAAAGATTTGAATCATAAGAAAGTCATTGCAGAGAACTTTCAAAAAATAAGAGAGAAATGCAGGTCTCGCAGACAAGCAGTCAACTCATTGATGAATCAGAAGCACACCTTTACCAGAATTCAGATGAAAAAAATAATGGCAGAATTTCTCACACCATGAATCGTTTTTATATGGTGAAAGAATAAAGGAACAAAACGAAATTCTTTTTGTTGATTTTCTCTCACATCCTCACATCTCCAATCTCATATCCACAAAGATTTCTCTGCTCAGAGAAGGGGAAGAAAAAGATAAATAGAAGCAGGAGGAAAGGGGAACAAAACTGCAAGAGGAAGAAGACTTCCTCCTCTCCTCAAAACACACCCTTTCTCTCTTCATCCAGAGTTCAAGAAGCTGATACTAGCTTATTACTGCTCACTTTCATCCTTGCTTGTTATGATGATGCTCGCCATGCACCACTACTTGCTACCCTGATGAGTTGCTCACTGAATGAACAATTGCAAAGCAATGCCAAGTTATGTATGTACAGTTATCAGATTGGTGTTGTGTTTAATCTCCTCCTCTTGGAAGCAGGAGCAGAGTCCTGGCTGTTGTAATCTTTGTTGTTGCTGTTTGACTGTGATGATCCTAGTGTTGTGTCATCACTCCTAAAACTGAAGCACGCCGCGTCCAACACGGTGATCGGGCTGTGTGGAACTGAAGAGCTTGCATTGCTGTTCCTTATCTTCTTCACCAATGCCTTCTCTACCATCAGCTCATAGCATCTCATAACCATCTCCTGCGGATGCACAAACATGACACATTCAGAAACATTGAAAATACAATGGCAGATCAGTATGCCATTCCTAAAATGCAAGAAAAGGCTCACCTTATTTACAGGGATTTCAGATTCTCCAAGGGCACTGTTGAAGACAAGAAACTGATTCTCAGCAAGCACAGCTAACACCACTGCGGCCGCAATCTCAGAAGGTCTGAATGACAAGAACCTAGAGTCTGTAAAAACATTGCACATAAATTTCTAGTAAGTACAACTTCATCAGATGTTGCCATTGGCAATGCAGGTAGATCTTCTCGATTAAATCATCGGGCAATATGATCAAACCTTTCAGAGTGCCCACTGTGAGATCAGAGCACCATGATGCCAGCGTGTAGCTCGGCGGCTTCCCTTCATTGAACTTGTCCAGGAAGTAGCCGATGAAAGAGAATGGGGTCACAGCTTGCAGCCTCCATTTCAGGGTTTTCATCACAATAAGCTCCATCCTCTTAATATGCCTTGCTTCAAACACATATTCCGCATCAAAAACCTATCATGCAACAAAAGCCCATTTTAGCACAAGATCATCGCGCGATCACTGAACAATTATCGATTTCAACTGTAACTCTTCATTCATTCACCTGAAGGTCCATGGGAAGAGGGACCACGGTCTCCTCCATCTTCGTAGCAAGAGATAGACAACTAACTGACAGCAACTGTTGCATCCAAGATTCGTCATGCTACAACAACAAGAACAAACAAAAGCATCGCAATGATCACTACCGGGATTCACTATACAGTAATTAAGTAGTGGCAATGTACATACACGTCCCAGATTCTTACAGGGAGATTAAACGAGGAGAGGAACCTATCCAGGTAGTTCACTGCGAGGTAAAGGCTGAGTGGTCCAAAGTTGTAGTAGGAATGGACCTGCAAGCGCACATGAGAGAAGACAAGATTAGCACCTTCGTCAGTTTCTACTTAAAAACAAATTTGTCCATATAAAAGGCAAAGCCCCATTGTTATCTGCAATCTGGTGCTTTGTCAAGTTTAGCAGCAAAGGCAAATGCACAGAGCCAAAGCAAGATCGACGCTAGAGTCAAAGATGTAACGCAAGCATGCAACAACCTACCTAGAAGACCCAATTAATCCATCAATAGTAACAAATAAAGCAAAAAAAAATCCTAGAGCTTTATTTATTTTTCCTACACTTTTGATTCATATTCACCTTGCAAATCCAATCAATGGCATCTTTCCTCCAAGAACACTCCAATCCACCGAGCTCCAGCTTCTCCAGATACCCCCGCTGAGGCTGATGATCCATCTCCTTCTCCACCAACAACGCCACGAACTCATCGGAGTCGATGGGGAACACAGCACCACCACCGAAGCCAAAGAAATCAAAGCCGCCACCGCCGCCGCACCCCAGCTCCGCCGCCACCTCGCCGCCGCCGCCGCCAAAGCCGCCCAGGCCAAGCACGCTGCTGCTGTCCTCCGCGCAGAGGAGGATGTTGGAAGCGCCGAAGCAAAGAACACCCATATCAATCAACCCAAGATCGCAAGAAACAACACCTCCTCCTCTAGTACTATTAGCACAAGTGATACTGGTATTGATTCAAGAACTCAAGAACGCATTGATTCAAGAACTCAAGAAGAGAGAGAGAGGAAAGGAGGTTGGTGGTGTTTTGGGGAGTGAGTGGCCTAGGGAGGCGAGAGGGAGAGGGAGAGGGCGCAGCAATGGAGGTGGAGGAGGAGGAGGAAGAGGGGCGACGCTTTTGTTGGTGCGTTGTCTTGGAAAGTGGAAAAAGGAGGGGAGAGACAGAGGAGAGGTCTCCTGGGGAAGAGAGGAGGAGGGGTTTTTGGGGCGTGGCAGTTTTATAGGGCGTGCGCGTGCGCGTGCGACGAGACAGGAGGTGGATCCGTGTGCGGTGGTGCACCCACACGCTGCGCTGCACCGAGGCGTGCCAACTTAAGGCCAAAATAGAGGGAGCCGGGAGAGACGTGGCGATAGTAATAACATTTCCTAGTGTACCGAACGAATTCAAACAAGTTTAGCCAAACTTTTTTGATAAAAAGTATTTGGTTTTTCTCGGTTTTACACCCTTCTTGCGACGGTAAGGTAAACATTGCTCCTCTTATGTCTACGCTAGACATTTTTGTAATTCAAAAATATGACATAAACATCAAATAGATTGGCGTCGAGTAAAATTGGGTGAATTTGTTGTTACGTTTAGAATATTAATCGGGCACTACATGGTTTTTTCTTCTTCTTTTTTAAGTAGTATAATGTCTACGGTGCAACTAACCACGATGCGCAATATCTAAAATGTGATTAACCACGAGTTATTTGGTTTACTGGTGTTATGTTCTATGCTAGTAGTACTTTATTTTTAATCGTATAATACTTGTTTAAAAGTCTCTAGTGGTGGTGCCAATGAATATGCCACTCACTGTTGTTTTTGTAGTTTTTACAAATTGCCTCAATATTTTTCTAATATTGTAGAATAGTCTAACATTTAGTTCAGACAAATAAATAATAGATAATCAAATAAGCAAATAAATGATACTAAAATATTTGATTAAAAAATATTTTGCTATGACATATTATGATTCTTCTATCCATAGCAAAGTATGAGCATTTTGCTAGTATGAGAAATGTGTGACACCTCCTTACAGCATAGAGAAAGGCACAAGAAGGCAATTGTCTCTTGGTTAGTGGTATTAGGCCATCCCCAACCCAGAAACTATCAATTAGTTTCCATATTTGCTATGTTATATATACATTATGCATAGAAACTATATATACAATGGATGATGTCTTCAAATTAAGTTCTCATCCAATCATCTTTCTTCTCTCCTTTATCTACCTATCCCCTTCTTTTCATTATTGGTTCTTGTGTAGAGATGATTTCTTGCATGAGAAATGGTTTCTCCATCTTTTTGCCTCTCTCCTCATTAACTCTCTTGGCACATCACATTTTTGTTTATGTGGCAATATATTTTATGCTATGGATACTAGATGTCATGGAGGGTTAGGGATGGCCTTAGAGTAGGTACAATAGCAGACTATAAGCTAGCTATAAACATATTTTAAAGAGATAAAAGAAGAGAGAGAAGAGCAGCGGACTACAGATCTATAACTAGCTGCAGCACGGATTTCAAGATATAACGTGTGTATGATAGGTGGGACTATGCATTAATAGTATAGTAAGCAACTATTGTATGAATTGTATTACATTGGCTATAGATAATTGGAGCTAGTAGTTGGCTATACTATTAAACTTGCTCTTAGAGGGGCGAGGGGGAAGCTAGGAGAGGGGAACCACATTACAAGGATTAAAAAAAAAGAACTAGAGAAGTCACCTATGGCTTAAATACAATTATATGCATTTTTTTTGGTACAATGATATGTACATTGAAGGCAGAAATCTATGGTGGTGAGATACTTATTGTACTACATATAACTGTTCCTTGTTTTTTGGGGGTGAATAGGGAGGAGTGTTTTATTTTTTTTTAACAATTCTGAACCAAAAATAGTCATTTGTGCTATACAGCACCCAGTGAATATATGCCCAAAAATTACAACTCTTCACGCATCTATGGCTTCACGATACACTTGGTGATAGAATTGCGAGAAAAAACTAGTCAACTGTGCTAATTTAAGATGCTACAACTAAATATAGTTAATGACCATGGTAGCCTGATATATGTTTAATTAATTCTAGAAGATGCAGTTGATAACAATTGTATAGTCAACACAACCTGATAGCGTGCTAGTTTTCTTTTAGCGCGCACTCGCTTGCATTACCACATCGATTACTAAATACTAGGTCTGTACATTTGCATCTGTAAATTTCCACAATTTATGTTATCTGTCAGGTAATTGGGATTGATGCGTCTATTAAAAAAACTAATCAACCCGAGTGTTCATGCTGGACTGTCGAACAGAAGGAATTTCATCGCTTACAGCTGCGTTGACAACACTAAAATTTGCAGGCGTAGTACAAATTACAATTACACATGCCCACATTGCATTTAGATCAGAATGACAATAAGTAGACTGTCTGTAACGTAATTGGCACCCAGAATAAACTGGTGGTTCCTAATTCGCGTGGTCAACGAGTTCTTTTTAATATAATCATTCAAGGCGGCAATCCATTTTGGATTGTGAGTTAAGAGCTGCTTAAATCCGATGGGCAAAGCATCAAGATTATCCAACCATTGGTTACGCATAACTAACCAATCAATTTGGCCAAAGCCCATAGGATTCTTCTCCATGTATCGATGGATCACACAATAGATAAAGTAAAAGAAAGAACAAATGCTGCAAGATATCACCTTGACGTTTTTGTTAGCATATGCACCCCGTCCCCAGTGGTCCTAGAGTTGGATAAACCCAACACATATCCTTTTCTCCATGCAGATTCACGATATACTCACATTGCCTTCTCTTCGATGCCACTGCACTCTTCTCATGATGCAAAATTGTTACTACCACAGTTTTACAAAATGCTGAGCTGTCTGAAAAAAACTCTGAATGTGTGATGCTGCTCTGATACATGGCTCCTATGAACAGATCGGTCAATAAAAGTTTAGGCAATTTAACCACAGCCACTCTCATTCTCATCATGTATCAGAGGAAATGCTGAAAGCTATAGAATCTGCGATGCTGCTCTGAATTCTGAAACATTTTTTTCTTGGTACGGGTACCTATGAGAGCAGGTTTAATAGTATAGTCAACTACTGATTCCAAATCATATGTAGTTATTTTAATAACCAATTCATACAATAATTATCTCCAAATATATACTACATAATTAATATCTAGTTTCACATATCATACACATGTATCTTATAGTCCGTACTGCAGTTGGCTACAAATCTGTAGCTCCACTGCTTTTCTATCTTACATCTTATCTTCTTAAAATGTGTTTATAGTTAGCTTATATCCTACTATTGTACATCCTCTGATTCTCTGAATATCTGTCTACTAGACCAGTAGTAATAAGTTGACTAGTGGTGCTGTGGAGGCAATTTAACCACGGCCGCCCAGGCGGCGAGGCAGGCAAGCAGGCGAGGCGCCCCCCGGGCGTGCGTTGTCGCTTGCGGCGTCTCCTCCGCGATGGCTAGGTGCAAAGATTGCGAAGACGCAGTACGCGTTTGGCTCCATCGCCTTGTACGCGACGGTGGCGCACGCCCGTGTCCGGCACCGCGCGCTCGCCATCGCCATCGCTGCGTACGTACGTAAAAGCCAAGGCGAGAGCGTCCAAGCGGAAAAAGCCTGTGCCGCCGTGGCGTCACCTGTACAGTCGACCAGTCGTGTCTCTCCCTCCCGTGTCCGTGCTCGCTGCTGCTGCTCGATGGGTATAATTCCTAGTGCCGATAGCTAGCTAGCTGCTCGTTACATTTTCGCTAGCCCTAGTCCTCCTTGCAAGGGACAACCTGTTGTTGTTGTTTTTTTTAAGAAACACGGTACAATTGCAAGCAATCGTAACACGCATACACTTATCTCTATAACACGCACACACCATATTTCGATTATATCAGAAGACTGAGCTGATATATCTTAAAATTGACGAAGTTACCACGAATGCCTCGTGTCAATGTGTACGTCGCTCTACAACTGAAAGAATAATTACCCGTAAATACGAGCATCCGTTTTCATTTTGTTACTGCTACGATGGTTGTGTGATTTGTAGAGTTCATTAACCTTGTGAGCCGAAATGACCATGCTGCGTCATGTATGCTTCGGGGTTGGGTAGTTTGGGGTGGGTGTGATGGTCAGTTTTATGGCTCGTGATGCGGTTAATATGGTGCAACCACCACCAACGTGATAGTTTGCTGGGCTAAGCCCAGCGATCGATCCATCTCTTCTTCCCGGGGGGCAATTGGGCCACCATTTTTGTGTTTTGACACTCGTGAGGAGCGTAATGTGATGCAACTACCAGCCAAGAAGGGGTTTGGCTGGCCTTGCAGCATGATGAGCTCGTGTGTACCCTACCAAGGAAGCTGGCTCCACATTGTGAAGATGACGACTAGTAGATGAGAGTATGTACATGTGCTCCATTGGTACAAGCATAGCATCCATAATTGCTCGTGAGAAGTTTCAAGCGATTCAACAACCAAAGTAGCTAGCACTCGGAACAAAGAATGGAACAAAAATGATCTGGTTTGGGTTAGTGAATTGCATTCTTTGGATCAGCAGGAGTAGAGTGTGCACTGGTCCATTTAGTCATTTACAAATCAAGAGGCATGGAAATGCCTGGGCCTTCATGCCATGTGCTTTGTTTGCAAAGATGGCTTGACTACTATTACTAGAGGAACTGGAGTTATTTCTCGTGAGGAACGTTATATGGTGTAACCACCAGACGAACTAGCTGGTTGGATAATTGGATGTAATCAAGTATACACTAGCTTACTCTTTTACCTCTAGTGGCCTGGTGATGTTGCTCTTTTATTGATCTTCACATTTATTTTCTTCACTGCAAAACTGCAAATTTTACGCTGAATTAAAAGATAGAGTATATATAATGCATTCTACAGTATATATAATCCTGACCAGGGTTTACTTTATCATTTTAACCGATTTGATAGAAGGTCACCGATATACCAAGAATTCCAAAATTTTAAATAAAAGTTAGTTAAATTTGAACAAATATTACCAAAATTCGTGAAAAAATTAAAACAAGGAAAAATTTCGGCTAAAATAGTATTGTATTGGAGGGGTCCGAAATGACCGAAATTTCCAACCCTGATCTTTGACATTTCTCCTTTCGCAGAAATACTCCTTGACCAATCGGAACAACTGCTGCAATGCTCTAATGCTCTGCAAGTAGAGCTACTACGTACCTCTGTTCAATCAGATCATCAGGCAATCGATCAGCAATGTACGCAGGCAGGATGCAACCCGTGAGAAGAATAATGCTGTGTAGCTACCAGTGGTAGTCTTGTATTGGATTGGCTCGGCTTCCACATTGATTCAGGCTCAGCCAGCCACATCCGTACTGAATTCACCACACTTGAAGTCGATCTTGAACACACTGAGAATTAGCATGCGCGTCACGTAGGTTAATTGAATGGGAGGCAACATTTAGTGCTCGTGACGGGCGTAACGCGGCGCAGCAACCGGTCGAGGTAGAGCTGCATGGTCGTCTCGTCCGTCAGATTGCGAACGATTTTAGAGCGGAGTAGTACTTGGCGTGGTAGACAGATCGGTCGCCGTGTGATCCGTGTGACCCTGTCGCCCCGTGCCCAACATGCGCTGGTCCCGTCAATCTCGGAGAGCGCAACCCAACTAACCAAACCAACAGGATCATTACGGCCCCATTTGGTAGGGCTCTAAACTCCAACTCCACTCCTACTCCAGTGGGAGCTAGCTCATGTTGGAGTTGGAGACTAGTTGAGAAGTATTTGGCTAGTTTTCAACTCTAGATCTGAAAAAAAAATGCAAAAAAAAATTTGAAAAAAAAGTTGTAAAAAAAAGGAAACCTAGCCGCCGGCAGCCCAATCCCAGGGCGCCGCCCGCCGCCGGTGGCGCATCGTCGCCACCCGTCGCTGGCCGGCCGCCTCCCGCGTGTCGTCGCCGCGTGCCCCGCCCGCCGTCGTCCGGACGCCTCCCGCACGTCGTCGCAGCGCGCGCCGCCCACTGCCCGACGGCCGCTGCCCGCTAGCTCGCTGCCCACCGCCCACGTGTCGTCCCGTCGCCCTGCTACCGTCGTGTGCCTGCCGCCGCCGCCGCCTGCTAGCTCGCCGCCCGCCGCCCGCGCGTCGTCCCGCCGCCGCCGACGCCGCGGGATAGCACTGACCGGAGCGCCGCCGCCGCGCCCTCCACCGCAGCAACCGACGCCATCGCCCCCGATCCCTCTTCCTCCTCCGCCGCCATGGCCAACACCGCCTGCCGTCGCCGACGCCGCCCACCACCGCCCGCCGCAGCTATTGGGACTCGGGAGAAAGATGGGGGAGGAGAGGAGGTGAGTAGGGGTAGTTCAATGGTATTTTTATGTAAATACACTAAAGAATTAAAGGTTAGTGGGTCTTTTGGGGTGGAGTGGAGCTGTGGAGCAGCAAAAACCCAGCTCCACCCCCGTAGTACAATTTTGTGGAGCAGCTCTCCCAACTCCGCTCCCAAAAACGGAGTATCTGGACTGTTTGACACAACTCCAGCTCCAGGTAAGTTGGAGTTGGGAGCTGGAGCTGTGCCAAACGGGGCCATTTGTCGATAAATTTTCACCTAAAAATTTGACAGATGTAATTATAGTATAATTGTGATGTAATTACATTGTAACTCACTTATGTTTAAGTTTCAAAAATCTCTTCGTAAAATTCTATTTCGGTAAAACGGAGGTCGTGGAAACGAATCCTCTCATATGTGTGCGCGTAGTGACTTTTTTCCTCCTCCATTTGCACAAATCTTGAAACAAATCTAACGGTTTAAAATTATGTGCAAGTTACATTGTAGTTACATATGTTACTACGATTAAACTGTAATTATATATGTTCACAGCGTCTTCACGTGACGCCGCGAGATAGTTATCAACCGCGGCCCGCGTAAAACGGCCCAATCACGCGCGCACGGCTCGGCCCGCGAGGCGTCGAGACGAGAGGATTCCTCGCGTTTTCGCCGATTCGGCCCGCGCGCACACGCGGCGCGTCGTCTCACGCACGCATCGGTCTCTCTCTCTCTCTCTCTCGGTGACTCTTCCGCCGCCTGCGCCGCGGCGCGAGCCGCCATGGCGAGGCGCGCGAGGCTCCGGCTCCGGCTCGTCCGCGCCCTCGCCACGGCCTCCGCGTCCGGATCGCCTGCGGCGCCGCGGCCGGCGAGGCAAGCGGCGCCCTACCTGGCGGTGCTCCACCGCCGCGGGAGGGCGGAGGCGGCGGCGTGCCTGAACCGCCACCTCCGCCTGCTCCCGCTCGGGGAGGCGACCTCGCTCCTCGACGCGCTCCCGTCCGTCCGCGACGCCGTCTCCTACAACACCGTGCTCACCGCGCTCTGCCGCCGCGGCCACCACGACCGCGCGGGCGCGCTGCTCCGCGCCATGTCCCTGGAGCCCCACCCGGCGTGCCGCCCCAACGCCGTCTCCTACACCGTCCTCATGCGCGCGCTCTGCGCCGACCGCCTCGCGGACCAGGCCGTCGGGCTGCTGCGGTCCATGCGGTCCGCCGGCGTCCGCGCCGACGTGGTCACCTACGGCACCCTCATCCGTGGGCTGTGCGACGCCGCGGAAGTGGACAAGGCCGTGGAGCTGATGGGCGAGATGTGCGAAAGTGGCATCGAGCCTAACGTGGTGGTGTACAGCTCTTTGCTCCAAGGGTATTGCAAGTCTGGGCGGTGGGAGGATGTAGGCAAGGTGTTCGTGGAAATGTCCGAGAAGGGAATAGAGCCGGATGTGGTGATGTACACTGGGTTGATCGATAGCCTTTGTAAAGTGGGGAAGGCAAAGAAGGCGCACGGGGTGATGGACATGATGGTGAGGAGGGGGTTGGAGCCAAATGTGGTTACGTACAACGTGCTCATCAATTGCATGTGCAAGGAAGGTTCAGTGAAGGAGGCAATCGGTGTGCTGAAGAAGATGTCCGAGAAGGGAGTGGCGCCGGATGTTGTGACATATAACACACTGATCAAGGGGCTCTCGGATGTGCTCGAGATGGATGAAGCAATGTGGTTGCTTGAGGAGATGGTTCGAGGTAAGAATATAGTTAAGCCTAATGTGGTGACATTCAACTCGGTTATACAGGGCCTTTGTGATATTGGTAGGATGAGGCAAGCGTTCCAAGTCCGTGCGATGATGGAAGAGACTGGGTGTATGGTTAACTTGGTGACATACAATCTGCTGATTGGTGGACTCCTTAGAGTCCACAAGGTAAGGAAGGCTATGGAGCTGATGGATGAGATGACTAGTCTAGGGCTGGAGCCTGATTCATTCACCTATAGTATACTGATAAAGGGTTTCTGCAAAATGTGGCAAGTTGACCGTGCAGAAGATCTTTTATCTACAATGAGAGATCGTGGGATAGAACCTGAGCTATTTCACTATATTCCTTTGCTTGTAGCCATGTGTGAACAGGGTATGATGGAACGAGCGAGGAATTTGTTCAATGAAATGGACAACAACTTTCCACTAGATGTGGTTGCATATAGCACTATGATCCATGGTGCTTGCAAAGCAGGGGACTTGAAAACTGCAAAAGAGTTGCTTAAGAGCATAGTTGATGAGGGACTGACTCCTGATGCTGTTACATATTCTATAGTAATCAATATGTTTGCTAAATCTGGAGACATGGAGGCGGCAAATGGTGTGCTTAAACAGATGACAGCAAGTGGCTTTTTGCCTGACGTTGCCGTATTTGATTCACTGATCCAAGGTTATAGCACAAAAGGAGAGATAAACAAGGTTCTCGAGTTAATTCGGGAAATGATAACAAAGAATATAGCACTTGATTCAAAAATTATTTCCACTCTTTCCACTTCTCTGGTTGCAAGCAATGAAGGCAAAGCATTGTTGCAGAGCTTGCCTGATTTCAGTGCAGAAATATCAAAAGGCAACATCAATTCACCCCAGGAGTTAATGAAAGTGTTGCATAATGTGTGCCCCCAAACAAATTAAACCTGGTGTTGAGCCTCTTTCATGTTCTCCTGCGCAGGTAGCCTTCATTCCTTCATATTTGAGATTTAAAATATGTTCCTTTGTTCTAGATCTGCCTATAGTTTGTACATAGTTTTGTCCATTCCCAAATCATAGGTGCTATTTGATTTCGGCTGCAGATATTAAATTTGGCACATCTCTATCAGATGTAGTTAGTAGTTACTGCGTGTCATGCGTCCATTTTCCTCGTGGTTATTTCAGTAGGTTCTTAATTTAGTCTTTGCTTCTCTGTACCAATGCAGGCTATATCATTCAAAGCTCCCAGCAATCAGCAATTGCACAAGAGAGCAAAACTAAATCTGGGTACATTTGCCGGATCGTTGGCTAGCTGGAGTCATCGAAATTCACAGGCAAATATGATCATTTGCCACTCTTTAGATTGCCACCTGCCACCCAGTGAGGCTGTGACAATGACACGGGGGGTCGATGACATATGGGCTAGGATGGAAAAACATCAAATTCCCAATCTAAGAGTAGCAAATCATCAATTTTGGGATGAGGATTTAGGATATAGCAACTTGCAAGTATATAGGAGACAGGAAGTCCATGTCCAGCAAGTATCAGATGGGCATGATTCACGGCAGTACGGATGACTATTTTCAAGGGCTAGCATGATACCAGCATCAAAGGCCAGGAAGCAACGAACTTGAAAGTTTCGTTTCAAACTCGATAATGACATGCTACTGTGTCATCTGCTGCCGACATCTCCATGGTCTTGGTGCCAGAGCTGGACTTCACCTGCTCGGGTCCTGAAGAGGTGGCATCTGTGCTTCCAAGGGCTTGTTCTCCATTGATTGATCTAGCGTGTATGCAGCCTTTTCTAACTGGGATTAAGAGTTGAGATTGTTTTTCTTGTCCCTGGTATTGTTAATTTGATACGCAAATTATTTTGACGTTGTAGTGGTATGGCAAAAAGTATCTCTTTTACGGTACACAAATTTTCTCAAGAGACTGGCATGCTTCGTAGTCACTACTCAAATACTCAATGATGATACCAAACGGTTATTCTCGTTGCAATTGCCGAAATGAGTTGCAATGGCAACTTTTATGTCCAAATGCGGCCGTTTGCAATTGGAAAAAGAGAAGAAGAAAAGACGCTGCTTTTCAGATTGTTCGGCGATGTATACTCCACCGCAGTACATCTCCGAACGATTTCCCTGTGGAATAAGTTCACCAGAGGTCCCTCAACTTAACAACGAGATTTATTTAGGTCACTCAACCACAAAACCAGAAATGTTCACCCCTAAACTCATTCAAACCGTTCACCGGAGGTCCCTTGGCAGTATATGTGGGTTGTTTCGCTAACGTGGCATCCTAGTCAGAAAAAAAATTAAAAAATTTTCGTGGGGCCCACATGTCAGCTGCGGTTTATTGTTTCTTCTCTTTTCTCTCCTCTTCTCTTTCCTCTCCTCTTTCTTTGCCGGCGGCGGGCGCGGCGATGGGCGAGCGCGCGGCTGGAGTAGGTGGAGGGGCGGCGTCAGCGCGCTAGAGCAGGCGGAGCGGCGGCGTCTCCGGGCGAGCGCGGCTGCGGCAGGTGGCGGACGAGCACGACGGCGGGCAAGCGGCGGCTCCGAGCGTGGGTGGTGCGCGGCCGGAGCAGGCGGAGCGGCGGCGTCTTCGGGCGCGGGCGGAGCAGAGGGGCGGGGGACGCGGCGGCGAGGCGTCGCCTCTTTCCCCCTCTCCCGCCGGCCTCATCTCCCCCACTCCGCCCGGCTTCCTCTCCCCCTCTCCGGCGGGGCGCTGGGAGAAGGGCGGTCACTCGCGGGTGGCGTGGACAGGGCCGACCACCCGACTACCCGAGCCCGGAGCTCCGTCCGCTCCCGTCGCTGCGGCGCGCCACCACGCTGGGCTCCTCTGATGAGTGCGACGGCGGCGGGAACCAGCGGCGAGAAGAACAGCACGCAGAGCGACCTAGGGCTAGGAGTAGAGGTGCATGGCATACCTGCTCTCCACTCCACGTCGACGGCGCCGTCGATTTGGCCATGCTGGTGAAGTTTCCCGCCGCCCGGCCGTCGCCGTCGCCGATGACGGCCGAATCCAGATTTTCCGGCAGCAGAGAGAGCGCATCCCCAGCTCGCTGCTCGCCGCCGGTCTTGGGGAAGCGGCGGCGTCGGGGAGAGTGGAGAGAGGTCGGGAGTGAGCGAAAAGCCGAGAAGGGGAGGAGGATGACCCATCGACTCAGGCATTCGACTGCCACCCCCCTCTGATTCCTCCGCCACCGGCGGCGACATCTCTGTCGGCCGCGGGGATCCCCTCCCGGAACAGGAGCCCGTCCCGGATCCCGCCACCACCTCCCGCCGCGGTTGCCCACAGTCCGCCGCCGCTCTCGCCGGCTGTCGCCTCGCTCCTGCCTGCTTCGCATGCCGCTGCCGCTCTCGCCGGCCGTCGCCCCGCCCGTCTCGGCTCGTCCAAGAAGACGAGAGAAGAGAAGAAAGGGAAAAAAGAAGGGATGTGGGCCCCGCACCGTTTTCTCTCACTTACATGTGGGCCCCACGTATTTTATTTATTTATTTTTGCTGACTAAAATGCCACGTCAGTGAAACCACCCACATATACTGCCATAGGATCTTTTGTGCACAGTTTGTGAAAATTTAGGGGTGAACATTTCTGATTTTGTGGTTGAGATGTTAAGTTGAGGGACCTTTGGTGAACTTATTCCTTTCCCTGCAGAAGAAACAACAGTATCTCGTCGAGAGCAGTGACACAAGTTTGACACAGAACCGATGAAAACCGCTCAGTTTTCTTAAAATTTGAAGGGATTTTTAGGCTAAAGATCGTAGACCCGGCTTTTAAAAAAAACGTCTAAGAGGTCTTCCGGCTAACTCCACAAGATGGTGGGTTAGCTAACCTGGGTTCAAAATCTCATTTGATATTAGATCTTTTCATAATATTCGCTTTTTTAAGCTGGTTTTTAATCAAAAGTCACAAAGTCAGAAAATTTGAAGGTTTCGAGCCAACACGAGTTGACAAACAGCACACTAGACCAGTCAAATATAATTTATAAAAAAAATCAAATTACATTTAATTATTTGATAAAATTTGTTCGTATGTCATTGCCTTTTACTAGATGGTTTACCTTACCGCTATCTAGTGGTATCACAGTTATCAATCGTTTGGTTACTATAAAAGCGATAAGATATTAAGTGGTATCACAATTATCAATTGCTTGGTTACTAAAAACCCAAGAGGTTTTTGATTAAAAAAACCTATTAGCTTTTAAAAATAAATAATACTCCCTCCATCTATTTTCAAATTTGAAAAATTTATTTTTAAAAGGCATATTTCAATCTAACAACCTATTATCTTAATGACATTCTCGGATTTAATGTGTGACTCTCTATTCTTTCACACAAGATTGGCTACATGGATATCGAGAAATGCAAATATCAATGAATCATTTGTTTACGAGAAATGACTAGTAGCATGTTTAAATAGATGATAAGTAAAATTACTTATCCTTGGTCTGTGTGCCAAGATGAAATATGACTATTAAAAGTAGATGGAGAGGGTATTGTAGCAGGATGTTACTGTGATAAGTGAAGGTAATTATCTGCCGCACTGCTGATGCTAGCAAACAGTAAAACTGTAAAAGCTTCAGGTCAAACTCACACGCTGGCCCAGTTGCTCAGTTAACTCCTCCCAATAATCTCACGCGCTCTCCTCTCGCATCGACCCTGTCCCTCTCTCATCATCATCATTCATCAATCGTCGCCTGATCGCCTCCAGCGAAATTCTTCCTCCATTTCTCTCTCCATCGAATCTCATCCCAGCAGCAGCAGCAGCAGCAGCAGCCGCCATGGATTCCAAGGCGGACGCGGAGTCAGCCACGGCCAGGGCCGCCACGGCGGCGGCGGCGGCGGAGCACGCGGCGTACCCGCGGCTGTCCCCGGAGGACGTCGCGCCGCCGCCGCCGCCCGTCGTGTCGCCGCCCGTCTCCGCCAACCCCTACGTGGTCTCCGCCCCCTCCGCTCAGCCGCCCGCCAAGAGTCAGTACCATCCCCTCCTCCTCCTCTCCGCCGCTGCTGCTGCTCCGATTCTTGAGACCATCCACGCCGCCGCGCTGACCGTCTCTGGTTGTGTTTGCCTCCTCGGCTCGATCGCCGCAGGCGCCAGGGAGAATCTCCGGGAGAAGCTCGACGTGGTCGGGAGGAGGTTCGGGGACGCCGCGCGCAAGACCGAGGGCATCGTCGGCGACATCTGGCAGCATCGTGAGTTGTTCCCCCCCCCCCCCCCCCCCCCAAATCCCAATTTCACATCCGCGTGATCGAATCAAACACCTGTTCATCATCATCTGCAGCATCCAAGTATCCAATCCATCACTACTACTACTGATTTGTTTCACCAATGCTATGTGATTCTTCTCTGTTTGAGTGCTTACTTGTTCATCATCCGTTAGCATCCAATTAATCCGTCACTTTTCAGGGTCAAGAACACTAATTCTGCTAGTACTAATTTGTTCCACCAGTGATATGCTATGTGAGATGTGATTCTTCTCTGTTTGAGTGCTTGGAATTGGAAATTCTTCTGCATTGCTGTAGTGAAAACTGGGCCAAGCATTGCTGATACGGCGATGGGGAGGATTGCTCAGATATCCAAGGTGATAGCTGAAGGTGGATATGACAAGGTGTTCCACCAGACGTTCGAGTGCCTGCCTGATGAGAAGCTCAAGAAGGCGTACGCATGCTACCTTTCGACCTCTCATGGCCCGATCATGGGCGTCTTGTACATCTCCACTGCCAAGATTGCATTTTGCAGTGACAGTCCTGTGGCGTATGTCACCGAGGATAATAAGAACCAATCTTCCATCTACAAGGTATGGTGATTTCTTTCGTCATATGCTCTATAAACCACATGATTGTTTGCTGATATTCAAGTTCTTGGTTTCGTAGAAATTATTTCAGATGCTGGTTTGTATCAGTATCATAAATGCTATAGCAAATTGGTACTACCCTGGTTCCAAAATATAAACATTTCTGCATGTTTTCCAAAATATATCTGGACATCCCTCCTTCTGGATACATTTTGAAACTCAAGCAGAAATGTTTATATTTTGGAACGGATGGAGTATTTTATAAGTTATCTCAACTTTGTGAAAACATACTAATTACGAAGAAGGCATGGAAGATAAGAATTCCACGCGATTCGTATCATGTATGCTACCAAATTGCTATTTCAAGTCAAGTTTCGGACGATTTGCAAGGGATCTTGTAGAAACACACCTGATCATGTATGTATCTGTTTTAACAGGTAGTTGTACCCGTTGCTCAGCTAAGATCAGTCACTCCTACGGCAAGCCAGCAGAACCCAGCAGAGAGGTACATCCAGGTGGTTTCTGTCGACAACCATGACTTCTGGTTCATGGGCTTCGTCAACTACGACGGTGCCGTGAAGAGCCTCCAGGAGGCCGTTCGTGGCGGCAAGGCTTCACTTCACCATCACATGTATTTTTTGTGAACATCGCCGTTACATGTATTGATCTGTCCGTCGTTCGTCATGCATCACTGGGAATTCGCATGTGTCGGTGTGTTAAATTGTCTGTACAGATCGCTCCCCTTGCTGTGTATATTGGCTGAAATTTGTGTTGCATATGCATTCATGTATTGTATGTAGTGTGTGGACTAGATGTGTACAAATACTGGATTGATTGTTGGCTTGATGCTCCATTAAAGCCTTTCTGTTCGTTGTTCCCATTCTAAGTTCAATCACATGATGAGTTGACGATTGCTGTTGAATATTTTTGGCATTCCCGGAGTTAATCCATGCTGAGAAGATATTACTAAACATGGTTTTGGGCTGTTTAGTTTACGTAAAGTGTTGGTATTGCAAAAAAAAAAAGAAGATAATACTGTATTAGCAAAGAACAAATCATGCCAGAAAAGGTAAATGCAGCTTCCAAAAAAAAGAATGTTGTTTGAATAGAGGTTAAAACAAATTTTAGAATCGAAGTTCTCACCCTTGGATTACCACAAGTGACGATGAATTTCCTTTGCTGCTAGCAAACATGTTGCGCTGTTAGCGCAGGTACAATAGCAGGCTATAAGCCAGCTGCAAACATATTTTAAGAAGATAAATAAGGGGAGAGAAGAGCAGCGGGCTACAAATTTGTAGCCAGCTGTAGCACGGACTCCAAAACGCAGTGTGTATATGACTGATGGGACCAGATATTAATAGTGTAGTATGCAACTATTGTATGAATGAGCTATTAAATTGACTATAGATGAATTGGAGCTAGTAGTTGGCTGTACTATTAAACTTGCTCTTACCTCATTTGCTTTGACGCCTTGGCCCGCCCCTATCCCTATGGAACCAGAGCCGGTTTATAGGATGGCGCCTGTGCAGTGCATGGCTGAGGCCGTGGGGAAATGAGGTCGCAGCCTCACACGCATATGTATACTGCATCTGAAATTTCTGTTGTGTAAAGCATCAACAACAGTAAAAATGTAGTCTTCAAGATCGAATATACAGAAATTTCAAATTTCTGTTGTCCAAAGCAAATCAACAATACTAAAAATGCAGTCTTACAGAATCAAATATCACTATAGAAATTTCTGTTGTGTAAAACAAATCAACACTAAAAGTGCAACCTTCAAGGATCAAATATCATCCACAAAATATGAAGTTAAACATCACAAATATCCAGGGCATCAAAGTGACAGACTAAAAATTAACGAAGCTAGAAAATATCTTCTATGCAATGATGATTACAGAACAGAGTATTTCAAAGGTCCATTCGTTTCATTGACTCGTCCAAGTTCTGTAAAAAAAAAATATAAATAGTTCAAATGATCAATATTTCTAAGCAAAAAAAAGATACATTTTTTCTAAAATAAAGCATTAATAAAGCTTTCTAAAATATTGAATTATTGGTGATGATAAATTTGTTTTCCATCAAGTGATTATCCAGAATTTGTAGGCCAAATTTTGGAGGTGTTAATTAAATATGATAGTTGATTATCTAGTTTGCCAGAATTTGCATAACTAAGATAGTACATACAGGAAACTGACGTAATTTGCATCAACTTTGCTGATAAACTATCAGATTTAGAAAAAAAAAACAAAAGAACACAAGAAATTTACTAACCATGGAATCATCAATAACCAGATCCTTCATTTGGACATCCATAAGCTTCCACAATCCATTGAATCCTCTAGGCCCAGGTTCTGTACATAAACATGTTAGAGAGATCAAATGGGTACATCAGCTCATCTAGTTCTGTAAGATGAACTAAATGCATATTAACAAATGCAAAGAAACATGCAGAGTAGTCCATCTAGTTCTAGAATAAAGATTCATCAGGTAAAATTTTACTCTACATAATACTGCTACTTAAATTAGATCCTCTCAACCTGAGATTGCTAATTTGCTCATCAAGCAAGCAAACAAAAGAGAGGTACTAAGCAATGACCGTTCAAGTCTCTTCCAGCCACAAGACTTAGTAGATGCAGAAAGTACAGATGGACAAGACTTAGGGTTTATGGAAGGAATCATATACCGGTGCTCACGGGCGAGAGAAACCCAGCTGGACGAAGGTGGCGATGTGGCTGGGTGTCCTCCGGAGCCCTCATCGTTGCTGCCGGTGGAGTGTCCTCCGGAACACCTCGCCGGTCACTGCTCCTCCGGTTGGCCATCAAGCAGATAGCCGCCGCCCACTGGTGCCTCCATCCGCCGCTGCCACAGGTAGAGCACCTCGTCGGTCACTGCTCCGCCGCCTGCAGGTAGAGTGCACACCGACGGTGGAGCACAGTGCCGCGTCGCCTGAAGTCGCCGCCGCTGCCGCGTGCGAGACGAGAGCACACCTAGGGTCAATCCACGTGGACCCTAGGGTTCACTGGGTGTCAGCCCTTTGTTCCCTAAAAATATATGGGCCAACCCAAGAACCTTTTGGTGCCAAATTTTTAGGGTCGGCCAGCGCACCTAATGGGTCGATCTGCCCCCTTTGCAGGCTGAGGTGTAGCATTATATAACACTAACTAAACAGAGACGATTTTGCTATATATTTGTCGACAAATTTTTCCCTAAAAATTTGACAGATGTAATTACAGTACAATCGTAGTGTAATTACACTATAACTTCTATGTAATCACACTGTAACTATAGTGTAACTTGTATGTAACTTTCAAAAATCTCTCCGTAATATGTTATTTCGGTAAAATGGAGGTCGTGGGAACAAATTCTTTCACATATGTGTGTGCTATGATTTGTTTTCTTCCTCACCAAAACAAATCGTGTAATAGATCTAACGATTCAAAATTATGTGAAACTTATATATAAGTTACACTGTAGTTACATGCAAGTTACAGTGTAATTACATATAAGTTACAGTGTAATTACACTACGATTGTACTATAATTACATCTGTCAAATTTTTCGGGAAAAATTTGTCGACAAATGTATAGGTAGTCCCGTTTCGGGAAAAATATGTATAGCTTACATAAAAATTCATGAGTGGACGTCCACATGAGCCACCAATCGTTTATTCGACAAAATCAGCATAACTGGCAAAAAGAAAAAACTTGCAGCTAGCACCTACTCCTATCAATATCCTACATGAGTATTATGATCCATACAAGATCATTCAATTCTTCAACCTACTGAGATGCTTCACAATTTTTTAGAGCTTCAAATTTTATCCATTTGCTTAGTGTGACAATGCTCCAAACAGGGGTCTTGGAAATACATGACATTCTCGACGCATTACAACTTACAAGATAGCATATTGCATATAGTTAAGTTAAGCAACAACTGTTGTATAAAACACTAAGGAATCTGCTCAAGAAATTTCAAGCTTCACAAGGAGACTAAATTAAAGATAACATATGCTGGATTGATTCCATGAAGTTAAGAAACGGTCAGCATGTAACATTGAAAAGTCTGCTATAGAATTTTATACTTCAAATTAGGGGACTAAATTGCATATACTAGAATTAATAGAACATTGAATAAACTACAAACAATCATTATGAACAAAACAAAAGAAAAAAATCAAGATGACCTTCATGGCCTCACACTAAAATATAGTAATGCTTACGTCTATAGAGCAACAAATGGAAGGAGGCATGTCTTGGAACATAATTCCCGGCAGACTTTCTCTGGGAGTCTATTATTGTTTATAGATAAAACTAGATAAAGCACATTTTCCATGCCTTGCATAGATCAATTTCTAGGAACAATATACTGTTGTGTTAGATTAAGACGGCCATCTTACAAAGAAAATGCCATTTATTACTAAATTCCCTAAAATATTCTAAATGATATTTTAGTACTTTACCAAATAGTGCTACAATATTCAGAACACAAATGGGGGCTGTTGGCATCAGATAATTATTAGTGGTAATGGATCAGCTGCCTATATTATACACATAATTATTTGTACCAATTTATACAAATTTACATGATATGTTAATAGGATAGGTGCACAGACCTGAGATGGCTATAACAATCATCACTGCTCCTGAAGTTCTCCAAGCATGCCCAACAAATGTGACTGCCACATTTACACTCGACATGGTTGCAACCATCAGCTTTCTCGATTGTAAAGTGGCAAGAAGGGCATACCTTCACATTCTCCTTCCCCTTGCGCCATTCAAGCAGAGTTGCATCAGGGTCTTCCTTGTATTCTTTGTATGCCTCACAGGATATGAAAGGATGATATTCAAGATGACACTTGTTGCAGATCTCCACAAAGCAAGCCCCACAGACAAAAGGTTTGCTTTCAGCATCTGCAGCAGCCACTTGGTAAATGGATGGGCAATCAGGAGTAGGACAGAAACGATATTTTCCTGCATTAGAAGCAACAAATGCTCTCAAGGAGGCTCTAAATAGCTCTTCCAGTTTCTCGCTCGATAGGAGAGATCTCAAATCAACAACAAGGAGCTGCTTCTTGCACCCATTTTTGAGGCAACACAGAGGGAAACCATCATGTGATTTCAAAGCAGATTCACACTGATCCACCAAGCAAGTCAGACAAAACACATGCCCACAAGATTCAAGCTTAAAGGGATCTTCTACCTCACACAGGCAAATAGGGCATGCATTCTCTAATGGAAGTTGAAGCAGGCCATTGTACTTTGTAGAATTTACCAGCTCAGAGATCATTTCTTCCACCCTTTGCTTGTCTTCTTTACTGCCTCGAACGTAAAGTGTATGTTGTCGTAAATTTAATCGAAGCTCTACTGCAGGCACCTCTCTCTTCAATCCTTCCAGATCAGCCCCGAACTTTTTTAACATTTCCTTCATCAAGTTTGGAGGTAGGTTACGGCCACGAAGACGAATATCCAAAGGTTTCTTATCACGGAGTTGTAGAAGGGCATGGATCAATTTCTCCTCTGCTGCAGCAACCTGATCTTGGAGTCCAAAGACTTTAATATTTAGACTTTGTCTGTCATACAGAATGTAAGTGCCAGTCTCTTGCTCAACAGATTTCAAATCTGCTACACCATCACGGGACATGAGCAACTGAACTGTACTTAGTGTCAGATCAGGATGGTTTATTGTTTTGCCTTTCATTAAAATCTCAAGAGGCCTTCTCAAGTCTGCTATTGTTTTTGTGGCGTTTGCAGTAAGCTTGACACGGAATATACCATATTCATTCTTTTCCAAATTGTAAGACACGCCTACATGAAGAAGAACACTGGTTAAGGCCTGAGGACACCAACACATACAAATATTTTTGCAGTCCAAAACAACTAAACATTATTAAGGCCGTCTAAGAAAGGTGTCACTGCTAGTTACCACGCAGTGACCAAATGACCACCGGTTATTGAATGTAAAAACTGTGGATGGAAAAGACCTGGATAATATTTACATCTACTGAGATAAATTAGGAATGCAACTCATAGAAAAAAGTGACATTTTCAAACTTCCAAACATCATCAGTTAGCAACATTGGTATACACATTGAATGGTCACAGATTTGCCCTTATCAAAGACAAGATATTTGTTTGACGAAGGGCCAGTGGCCCACATACATAGATGAGCCAAGATTTGAGACCCATCCAAACTGCCTTGTTGTGTTTAATTTTCTATCCTTCCACAAAATAGAAAACAGGAAAGTAATTTTTTTCCCATCAATAAAACTATGAATTTCAGGGAAAATATGCCTCAAACATACTGTTCGTAAATCATATAAAACTGAAGTATGGGAAAATAACATTCATGCAATCATGAAAATGAAGAGGATCATTCAACTGAACAGTATGGAAAATTAGAAGCAGCAGAGTTTAAGAAGTTATAAGGAATGCAGAATTACCTTTTTGGCTTCGGAAGCTCTCAAGAAGAGAAGCAACTGCTTGGCTGATAACATTATACACGCGTACTTGACAGGACACAGTACTATGAAACACATGCTGGCATTGTATTGTCTGCCAAGGAAGACAGCATGGAAGAACACTTCCTTGAAGATGTTCCAATGCTCTTGCAGCCTCTCGATGAAGACTTCCATCAAAAGTAATAGTGGCTCTCATCACCGAATCATTCTCCTCTGGAGTTAACACCTCAACACGGAAATTTTGGGCAGGAAAAATTTTCTTTGGCATGAAGGAAGAAATTTCTCTATTTAGTGCTTCTGCACACAAGGAAGCAGAAGGGGCAGCTATGGGTGTTCCCCTGAGCAAATGCACATCAACGATTTTCCTTGTTGTCGTGCTACGAAAGGCATCATACAATTCTGGCTCTGTTACATGCATTGGAATTCCTCTGACAAAAATGCAATTCTCATGTCTTGTACTAACCTCACAGTTGATATACCTTCCACCAACTCCCAGAGCAAAGCAGTCCTTTACAACAAATTCAGCTTCCCCACTGGCACATGTTACCAGCGCGAGTCCCCGACTTTGCTTAAGTGGCCAAGATACTTTAGCTCTCACTGCTGGAAATGGTAATCCTCGATTACTGGAAGAGCATACTGGAACCACTTTCAATGGAGAACCATGAAATTCCATCCCATTCAATTTTGAAACAGCATCTTCAGCATATTCAGGATTGAGGAATGTAAACTTCCCCCACTTCGTTTCATCTGAGGCCACCTGAAGATTTCCATAAAGTTTATAAAAATTAGCAACACCAGAGATAAGAGTATCCACCAAGCAAATAAGCTCCTTGTCATTCAACTCATGAGCATTTTGATGCAAAACCTCTACGGTCAGATACCTCTTCTCAAGTTCCAAATGCTTTATTTCAGCACCAGAACCAAATAGGGCAAGAGAACAATCACCAGGTTTTCCAGAAAACAAACTTTTCTCAAGGCATTCATTCCTCAACATCCGAGCTTCACACTCCAATGCATCATTAACGATGCCAAACACCTTTTCTATGTCTTGTTCTTTGGCAAATAGCACAACCTCTTTATTTCTGAAGTCAACTTCAACAGTCACACGGTCATCCCTGAATTCTTCTTGGAGAAGTGAGATTATCTTCTGCTGATTTTGGCCAGATTTTCCACAAAATTTTCTCAGCAAGTTATATCCAAGTCCACTTATTACCTTCACCTGCAATTTAAGCTTCTCCAGTTGCTGAATCAAAGGCATGGGGTGAATCGAACACAAAGCATCAGGATCAATAGCAGTTACACATACCAAATATTGATTTGGTACTGACAAGATTTCTGTGAACACCACCCACTCAGGCTTGCTATCATAAATGAGCAATGAGCAAGAGGGATGTAGTTTCACAGCCTGATCCGTTGAAATCACCTGGTAACCAAACCTTTCATGTCCAGAAAACATAGCAATATTACCAGAAAGAGATGTGAGAATAATTCTTTTTAGCAACTTATCATGCACGGTGGACTCCTCAGGGTTCCAACACCAGTAACTTGGGACAATGATGTTCAGCTCGTGTCTTAAACAATTCTCAAGGTCTGATATTGTTTCCTGGCACCTCCTCATGGTCTTGGCATTGATGCTATTCTGCCAGCACCACGTATTCCTGTTTTCATGCTCATCCTCCCACTCTTTATATACAGCTAGTAAAGTGAACAGATCTCCATCCTGATGACAGAATGGGACCTTTAGACGGTCAGCTTTGTATTTCTCCTCATCTGTGCCCACTCTACAAAATATGCTGCTAGAATTTGCCATAACAGCAGCTAGAACTACACCTTCCTTCCTCAAACCAAAACCAAAGCAATCAAGCATGATTTTCCCAAGCCTCGGCTCGATTCCCAATTTAACTAGGTAGCGACCAGTATCAGTCAGCTCAAAACCATCACATTTATATTTTACAGCACCCAGTTGTTCAAGATTCTTTACAGCCATATTAATAGCTTCTGGGTTTGGGGCATCAACAAATTCAAAATTCTGTGCATCCCTAATACCCAGCGCAAGTATTCTCAGAACAGCAGTGCCAAGATGAACTTTGCGGATTTCAGGTTCTTGATGCACTTCCATCATACTGAAGTCAGATTCAGAGTAAAGCCTGTAACACCTCCCCGCTCCAGTTCGACCTGCTCGGCCAGCACGCTGATTAGCAGAACTTTGGGAGATCCAATTAACTTTCAGTACATTGAGACCACTGCTAGGCACAAATCTGCTCTCCTTAGCCAGTCCAGAATCAACAACATACTTCACTTCTTTTATGGTCAATGATGTTTCAGCAATATTTGTGCAGAAGATTATTTTTCTCTTCCCAGGATAGCTCTTGAAAACTAGACTTTGCTCTACATGGGAAAGCTTTCCATGCATCGGAAGTACCACAGCATCTGCATCGCTGAAGTTTTCACATGCCCATTCAACTTCGAGTTGAGAAGTCAAGAAAGCAAGGATAGCACCCTCTTCTTCATTCTTGTGAATGATGCTTACCATTTTCACAACATCGTAAACATATGAAGCAGTAGCACAAGAACCGCGCAGATGGTTTGGCACGGTATTGAAGGAAGCCTCTTCTGATATATCAGGGACATATTTAATTTCAACAGGAAAACTTCGCCCTTTAACATAAAATGTTTGGCATCCATAAAAATATTCAGCGAGTCTATTAGCATCGGCAGTAGCAGACATTATGATAAGTCTCAAATCCAGCCTATCAAGCAGTTTCTTCTTAATCAAAGCTAAGAGAAGATCGGTGTTCAAGCTTCGTTCATGCGCTTCATCAACAATAATATATGAAATGCCATCTAGTCCCATATCATTCATACAGTGATGCAAAAGGCAGTTGTCTGTGGTATATATAATCTTTGAACTGAAATCTTGATGATCTAAAAAGGTTGAATTCAACACAAAGTTGTCCCCGTAGCAACCATTGCTTTCTTCAACTACTCTATGTGCCAATGATATAGCAGCAATTTTTCGGGGTTGAGTACAGACAATTGAACCATTAGCAGCAAGACCTGAGTCAGCAAGATACTGAACCAATTGTGTGCTCTTCCCAGAACCAGTTTCCCCAATCAAAATCATCACCTATGGAAAACAAAGCTATACGACTTAAAGAATTATTTACAAATTTAATTGAATGACTGATAGTAAATACAGAAAGGTATGGGTGCAACACAATATGTATTAGAGAATGATTTACAAATTTAATTGAATGACTGATAGTAAATACAGAAAGGTATGGGTGCAACACAATATGTACTGGAAAACTTGGACATGCTACATAATCAAGACTCCTGTGCCTCATGAGCAAAATTGCATCTTATTTATAGGTTTTGCCTATAAGCATAGAATATTCTGCCAACCAAAATTCATAAGAAAAATGCGGCATGCTGATTTAGAATGCAAGAGAACCTATTCAAAACTTCAAACAGAGTTGGAACTTGATGGCGCATTGTATGTGAAAACATGCACAAAACTAAATTCCTAACTCAACTCTTTCTTCCAGAGTTCCAAGCATAACAGTAAAGATCTAATGGTTCTTTCTGCATTGCAAACTTCCAAATTCCAACCCACTACAGATAAAACTGCATTGAGAAGTCTGGCTCTCACCTGGTTAGCGAAAATGTGATCTAGAATGTTCCTGCGGTAAGCATAGATGGGTAGCCCCTCCTTAAGCCTTCTACATTCCCGCAGCATTATCATGTGCAGCCTAGCGAAATTCATCTCACCACCTCCCCCAATCCCAAACACCTCCAACCCTTCCTCCTCTGCCTCCTCGTCATCCTCCGTCCCACGCAACAATGCACGCCGTATCGATCTCATCGCGGCTTTGTACTCATCGATTTTAGCATCTACCAACTCCTTCTCAGCCTTGAGAGTTCTCTTCTGGGCCTGGAGCTGCTCGAAGTCGCGGATGCGATTGTGCCCCGCCAGGCGGCGCTTCACCGCCTGGATGGAGGCCGCGAGCTCGGAGGAGCGGGCGGCCGTGAGGGAGACGAGGTCGGAGTCGACGAGGCGGGCGGCGTGGGCGGCGAAGAGGGAGGCGATGAGGGGGGCGGCGTGCGCGGCGAGGGCGGGATCGGAGACGTCCGGGGTGAGGAGGTGGAGGCCCTCGAGGCGGAGCGACCAGAGCTCGCGCGCGGCGGCGGCGGCGGCCTGCGGGGAGCGGAACGCGAGGCGCGCGGCCTGGCGGCCCGACGAGGAGACGCTCAGGCTGTCCGGGGGAGGGGAGGGCAGGCCGGCGACGAGTGCCTCGACCTCCGTGGCCGGCGGCGCCGAGAGGTTGCTCCCCCCGCGGAGGAGGATCACGGCGAACTGCCGCGGCCCCGGCTGCGCGGGGCGATACCGCTGCTGGTACTGGTACTGGTTCTGGTGGTGGTGGTGGTAGCGGTGCGGCGGCGGGCCCCAGTCCGGCGGGCGGAAGGGGCGGCCATCGTTGGATCGGCGCATGGCGGCGGCGGCGGAGGCGGCGAGGTTGGGTTTCCGAGGGTTTGGGGGGAGGTTTTGGAGAGGGGAGGAGGCGGTGGGGTGGGAATCGACGGGAGGAGAGGAGGGAAAGGTGGGGGGAGAGGCGGACGAGACGAAGGCCTTTTTCTCGCGGTTTTATGATTTCCGTTTCCGTTTCTTTTACGGTTCTTTTTTTTTTCAGATAGCGTCCGTTTCAGTGGGGATGATGGACGCGTGAACGGATGAACGGACGGCTGTGGATGATGCGATAGGGCAAGTATTATGAACATCCAAGCACAAGTCCCAAGATATCACATAGGACTAAATGATAAGGTGGAGGAGAGAAAAAAGATGAGAGATAAATAGCCATCTCTCATGCAAGGGGCAATCTCTACATAAACTTCAATAAACATGTAAAAGTGTTAGAAATATTGGAGATTGTGTGATAGAGATAACCTATAATATATGTTACCTCTTAATTTAATGGTGTATGTCATGAAATTAGATGTGGTAGTCACCTCTACTATGAAACTTGCCCTTAGAGGCTAGGCTACTTACTAGATATTTTTTTTAAGAAAAGGTTTTACTCTTTCTAGATTGATTATATAGTGCCTCATCTATTTTAGATTATAAGTCGTTTTGACTTTAGTTAAAATCAAACTGCTTCAAGTTTGATCAAGTTTGTAGATTAAGTTTGATTTTGACCAAAATCAAAATGACTTGTAATCTGAAACAGAAATAGAGCTTAATGCTCACTTCCCATTTTACATTTTTTTTAGAAAATAAACGAATAAAGGGTTTACACATCAAATTATAATGCTATAATATAAGAATGGATAATAAGGTCTATTGATAGAGTTTTTTAATTAGTTAGAATTGCATATTCCCGCTCTGTGTTTTAAAGATATGTTGTTTACTTTTGGACATGACGTTTGATGTCCATCCTATTAAAATTTATTACAAATAAAAAATCATACTAAAGAAAGTGTTGTAATAATAATAAAACAAGTATAAGATTAGTATTTTCATAGTTTTTAATAAAAGCAGATAGTTAAACGTTGATGTCCAAAAGTTAATAGCATTATATATAGAAAAACGGAGATAATGTTATTTTTGGCGTAGCTATTAGCTAATATGAACTTCTACATACGTCCAAACATAGCATTAATTATTAGTTCGGTCATACATCGAACTCCTGTTCAATTTTATTCTCCCGTATCTAGTTTCCATGTTTTTTTTCTGAGCTTAGACAGTTAGACGGCGGGCAACATAGCTCTAATTAAAGGATTTGTTTTTAGCACGATCACTTACGATCATTTGCACGTGCATTGTTTGTTGCAAACGTCCTATTTCATGATTTATTTCCCATATCCTTACTCGAGTTTGGCCTAAACTAAATCACTAATTGCAATTTAGCTCACTAAGAAATATTTGCACGACGTTATTCCCAATTTTCCAATGTTTCGAAGCTTTTTCGCCCGTCACCATCGGAATTTCGTGGCTGGTAGCTTTGTTCTGGTTGGCACTACCACCAAGCAGTGCATTGGCTACCAAGTGGGTGCCTCTTTGCCAATCCAGTGTAAGCACACTACCAATGATCACATAGTGGTTGACGCTGCAACAACCATTTTCGTGCAAAGCACATTTACTTCACTAGCTTGCTTTCCTGCCTGGTTGAGCCAGGCAATCCATCTTATCCAACCTTTTGGCCTTTTGCTTTGCTTTGCCGATGCACTGCACAGGGCCATCTCAGGCTTCAGTGCTGGTTAAAGCAGCCACACACTGACATTTCTAGTGGTGCAGCTGAGTCATTATGAGTCATGACTGCAGTAAAAAAAATGTGTAGGCAACAGCTCCAGGGTTTCAGCTGAACTGAAGCCAAACTGCCAAAGATGTGAAGCTAAGGTGGTGAATCATGAGAGCTTCCAATCCATGTTTTTCCAAACTTTCCTATGCAACCAACACAATCATATCATATGAACATTGCACGGTGGGACAGCAAGCTGGGTACATTCCATTGTTCCAAAGGTGAATTATTTGAACAATTCCGTAACAACTGTGTTACCTAAATACAGAAGCGCCTTCTTCGACTTAGAACCAGTCAGGACTTTTATTTGTAAGAACTGTTCAATAGAAACAAGTGACTGACAGCATCAGCTCTTGGTTATTTTGTCCGGTTATTCATGAAAGATTGGTTGGGAATTTGTGGGATGATAGCATGGGTTTTTCTTTGTTATGGCCTACAAGGGTCCAGGGAATGTGCCATTCTCACGTTGTTCGTTCCAACGCTCAATCTGCACAAAAGATAAAACACACTGTGTCATCAAGGAGGGTCTCTGAAAACAGTGACGCTTTACTAGAGCAATGGTTTATGGCTAAAGCATCATAGAAGCAAATAATATTGGAAACATAGAGTTTTAGGCTTATATAAGGTGACAATTGAATTACTAGAGAGGCATACTGTAGATTATAATGGAAATCTCAGATAAAAAAAACTGATAGGCATGTCAGTGAAGAAAGTGTAACAGAAACTTCATACGCCATAGGAATACCTAGATCATCATAACAAAGCAAGCCACAGAAGTATTACTGAAAAAATCGATATAAGAAATGCATACCCATTCACTTGGGCAAAGTGATCGATAATATTTTGCAAATTTTTCACACTCAGGAGCACCCTCTCCTTTTGCAGCTACACACCTGTTATATGAGCATGCTCAAAGTAAATAGTTTAATTAACACCAAGGTTTCAGGTATGAGGAATCTGAAACTGAAAGATCTCGATCATATTCATACCTATGATATTCAATATAGCGTGTGAAGCAATGCCTTGTTTGATTTGTTGTTGGGAAACGAAAATCAGCGGGAGCCGTCTCAATCTGTATATTATATATGGTCAGTACTCAATACTGAACAACAAATGTGATTGCTTTTCCAATGATAGGTGGTATTGTATTGTACCTTAATTTCTGGCTTCTCATCAATTGTTTCCTCTTCAGCCTCATTGCTTTCCTCTGTAGCAGCATTGCTCCCCTCTTCTTCTGGCTTCTCAGAGGATGCTGTCATCTCGGGAGTTTCACTTTTGTCCTCAACAACAGAAGTGGTGTCCTGAGCTGCTGGTGTTTCAGCATCTTTCTCAGGAACAACTTCAGCCACACTGTTATCAGAAGATTTTTCAGAGGATGAATTTTCCACAGGGACCTCGTGGGGTGGGAGTGTGTGTTCCTAAAAAATAAGATGGAGTTCAATATTGTTTATCAACCATGGAATATCAATTACAGAAGGAACAGCAACACACAGAAGATAGTTGGGCTCAAGTGCGCGTCTACATTAATGCAAGTGTCAAATTGTTGCTACCCACGGGATACTCAGGGTAACAGTGTTCTAGGCTTAATTTTGGTAATATTTTTTCACAGATATCATCCACCGAAATTTTGAGGAATAATTGTGCATTGTCCAGGGCCTCCATATCCTTTATTACAGTACTTAGATTACTTTTTCTTTTTTGTGAGGACAGTGCCTAGATTACAATTGGACTATGCAGCGGACTCATACAAGATTATGGGTTCAGTCTCAATATATCCTAATTGTAACTCTTCCAACTTTGAGGCTACACACCTAAGTACGCAAATGCTCAACAAAAACATAAAAATAGAAAATATGAATTATCCTTTGAATGACATTTTGTACTACCTCCGCCCCACTGGAAATAAAGTCTTTTTGGCACGGAAGTAGTACATTTAGCATCATATCAGCTTTATCATAAACTCCTAATACATGCAAAAGCATATAATTTTATAAGCTGAATGTTTATTACTTAATTCAGACAAAATAAAGGGGGTTAACTTCAATCGCATTGCTCATGCATAATTTGATTAAGGCAATATCATACGGCTACACGGTAAGTTTGTGAGCACGGAATGATGGCCACCACATCTTTGAAGCTCTGTACGCGTCTGTGCAGCACCAAAGTTACACGGTAGACAACTAGTCAACGATTTGGACAAGGCAATCGAAGGGGAAAAAAAGAGATTTACTGACGGCGACAGTAGCTAACGCCTAACAGCAGTCGCAACTGAGCCAATTCAGAAGACGGAACGAGTTAATTCCTCCACTCAACCCAACTAATGCCCTGTTTAGTTACAGGAGTGAAAAGTTTTGACATGTCACATCGGATATACGGACACACATTTGAAGTATTAAACATAGTCTAATAACAAAACAAATTACAGATTCCGCCTGTAAACTGCGAGACGAATTTATTAAGCCTAACTAATTCGTCATTAGCAAATGTTTACTGTAGCAATACATGGTCAGCAATTAGGCTTAAAAGATTCGTCTCACAATTTACACGCAATTTGTGTAATTAGTTTTTTTTTCTATATTTAATACTCTATGTATGTGTCTAAACATTCGATGTGACATGGTGAAAAGATTTTACGTGGGAACTAATTAACAGGGACTAAACATGCACACATGCATCCAAGAGAAATCCCACCGCTCCAAACCTACTCGCACGAAGAGAAATCCCGCCACTCCGAACGCGCGAACCAATCCACTACGCGATCACAGATTGCTGGGATCTGAGCGCGCGCGCGTGCGCCGCCGCCGCACCAGTCCACCGGAGCAGGCCGCCGCCCGCGCACGCGCGCGTAACCACACCTCGAGAGGCAAACTAGCAAGGCACCAAAATCTGGGAAGCGGGAAGCGATAGGGATACGGGATTCCCATACCTCGGCGGCGAGCGTCGGGGCCTTGCCTTCTCCCGCCGCCATGGGCGCCTCGCGAGAGAGCTTCCGGAAGCGAGCTGAGCCCCGTGGAAAGAGAGAGAAGCGTACGCGTCTCCGAAGTCCGAGGCTTCGAGCTGTGTCGTTCGAGAAGGTAAAAGAAGAGCGGCATTTGTGGGTTTTGGGCCGCGCTACGACAAATTAGTTCACTGGAGGCCCAGAGAGTTGGCTTTGCACTTGGACTTGAACTGACGCCTTCTCTTTCGCAACAAGTCTAATGGAATAAGTTCATCTAAGGTCCCTTAACTTGTCAACGAATCCGATTTCCATCCTTCAACCGCAAAACCAGATACAACGGGTCCCTCGGCGGTTTTGATGCCGGTTTTGGCTGACGTGACGCCTACGTGGCTAATTTGACTTGGTCTCGATCTGACGTGGCACTAATGTGGTGCTTACGTGGCAATTTGATCCGAAAAAATAATAAACCTCGTGAGACCCACTTGTCAGTTTCACACAGAAATTAATAAAAAATGGTGGGGCCCACGTGGGCCCCATGTATCATTCCCACCCCTCTTCTTCCTGTCCTCTCCCCCCATCTCCCATCTCTTCAACTCTCTCTCACATCTCTTCTCCTGCGACGGTGGCACGGGCGATTCGGGACGGCAGCGGGTCTAGTAGTCCTCCGGTGCCAGCGGCTAGTGCGCGCCGCCGTGCGGGGTGGCGTCGGCGGACGGGATGACGAGGTACTCGTAGAGAAGCCCGGCGAGGCCGGCACCGATGAAGGGGCCGAGCCAGTACACCCAGTGGTGCCTCCAGTGCCAGCCGACGAGCGCTGTGCCAAACACCCTCGCCAGGTTCATCCCGGTGCCGTCGAACGGCCCTCCGGCGAGCATGTGTCAAGAGATGTTGCATTAACAGATAGCATTGTCAAATACATGCTTGATAACACAGGCAATTAGCAGAGAATGTACTAGTGTTAGACTGATAAATGAGGATGTATACCTCCCGGAAGTCAGAGACGTCGTCGTCGGGGTTCAGGTACCTCGTGGAATTTGTCCTCGTTGCCGGAGTAGTCGACCACGGTGTCGGAGGCGGAGTCCTGCGTGGAGACGAAGCTCTGGGCGGCGACCATGGCGATGTCCCCCTCCTCCTCCTCGCCCTCCCTGGACAGCGGCCGCGGCGACGCCTTGACGGGGGCGAGCAGGTGGTCATAGTCGACATTGGACAGCGCGCCTCGCTCGCCTGCTTCGCCGCCCACCCGTGCCGTCCGCCGCCCGGAAAGAAGAGAGAGGGGAGAGGGGAAAGGAAGAATAGGAGTGAGGATGAAGAAGAGAGAAGGGAGAGGGAGGCTGACATGTGGGCCCCACCATTTTTTATTAATTTCTGTGTGAAACTGACATGTGGGTCCCATGAGGTTTATTATTTTTCAGATGAATTGCCACGTAAGCGCCACGTCAGTGCCACGTCAGATTGAGACTAAGTCAAATTAGCCACGTAGGCGCTACGTCAGCCAAAACCGCTGTCAAAACCGCCGAGGGACCTAATCTGTACCCGTTTTTATAGTTGAGGATTCGTTGTATCTGGTTTTGTGGTTGAAGGACGAAAATCGGATTCGTTGACAAGTTAAGGGACCTTAGATGAACTTATTCCAAGTCTGATTGCTTCCGCCCAAAGTCTCTTTTTAGCACTTATACATAGAAATCTAAATCAATCATGAATGTTCTAGTTTTCACCGTTTTCATATTATAAGATGTTTTGATCTTTTTTAAGTTAATTTATTTAATTATTTTGCGAACACGTAAAAGGATTACACGTCAATATATTAACAGGAAAAGAGTTTTTGTTACACAAAGCAATCAGCCAGACTGGCTTATGTCTAAAGGGGGGACTTGAAGCTATGAACTACTACGACGGTTAAAAACGCAACTCCAAACAGCGGGAGGGGGCAGAGCCACGCTACACTCCCAAGAAATCCCAAAAAAAGTAACACCGGCTAAAGACCACAGCTGGCCCTCCGAGCGGATGGACTCTAGAACCACTGCAACCGAAGCGAGCGCAGAGTCGAAAACCCTGGAGTTTCGTTCCTTAATTTATTTAATTATGATAAATTTATAGATAAACGTAGTAATTTTGAATTTAATGAAAATAATTTAGTGTGATAGATGTGTCGCTATGGTATATCTGCACCAGGGTTTTTGCTTCTATAGAAGAAAAATCAGCAGGGCTGAATTATTTTCGTATACGGTCTAAGTGAAAAAAAAATCAGAATTATTTAATCAAGGACATACACCGTCGCTAACTCGCTGTCAACCGCATTTTTTATGCAGAACAGAGAACAGACAAAGCCTTCAGAAAGACACGACGGACAGTTTGAGTTAACAGCGAGGCTCAACTGTTTCCCAGGGTATCAGCGGTTAATCGGTTATTAGCGACAGGACGACGATGCCGCGATCACTCGCCGTTGTCGATCACCTTGGCGCCGTCCATCCAGATGATGCAGCGGATGCTCTTCCCCTGCGTGAGCAGCTCGAACGCCCTGTTGATCTCCTCGAACCCCATCTCGTGCGTGATGAACTCCTCCAGCTCCAGCTCCTGCAGATGCAAGCATACACACACCGGTTAATTAATCAGACACAAAAGATATGTAGTATTTTCGTTTTAAAATATACTCCCTCCGTTGTAGGTTATAAATCGTTTTGACTTTACTCAAAATCAAACTACTTTAAATTTAATCAAATTTATAGAAAAAAACATTTTTAATCCAAGGCAAACGTATTATAAAAATATATTAAAGTATTGATTTAATAAAACTAATCTGGTGTTGTAAATATTACTATATTTATCTACAAACTTTATCAGACTTAAAATAGTTTGATTTTGAACATAGTAAACTTATAATTTAAAATTAGGGAGTATATTTTAGCATGAAAGGAGTAATATGAACCAAACAAATTAATTAAAATCCCGTTAGATCGATCGATGTGGATCACCTTGTCCAGGTACTTCTGAGCCAGCATCGGGATGTCGTTCTTGGGCTTGATGCCGCCGAAGAGCGACCCGATGACCGATCTTCCCCGGAGGATCTCGTGCGACGGGATGCTGATCGGCGCCTTGTTGCCGGAGACGCCGAGCAGGATCGTCTTCCCCCACCCCTGGAATAACGTGAAATTCCGATCAGCTTGCTGCTGCTCTTAGGGCCTGTTTGGGGAGGTTTAAACTCTGAGAAGCAGTTATTTGGTAGACAGTTTCTGAGAATCTGAAAAAGTTTTGAAAAAGTTTTGAAACCCAGTTTCTCCAGCTTCTAACTTATTAGTTCATTTTTTAAAATCTGTAACTACAGATTCTCAGAAACTGTGGACTGTTTGTGGCAGTTTCTAGCAGAAGCAGTTTATGAGAAAAACTGCAGCTGACACAAAGCTCCCCAAACAGAGCCTTGGTATCTAGTCTCTACTGCACAAGCAGAGCAAGTAGCTCGTACATTTCGAGTGCTTTGGAAGGCTTCCGCCATGACCGAAGTCGAGCCGATGCACTCGAAGCAGTAGTCGGCGCCGCCGCCCCCGGTCATCTCCTTGATGACCTCGCTCACGGTCTTCCCGCCGGTATCGTTCGGGTTGATGAAGTCGGTCATGCCCAGCCTCTTACCTGCAACGCAATGAGACGAGTTAGCCAGATAGGAGAATGATTCTAAACTCTCTTAGGGAATATTCGTTCATTATTTGTATATACCACATTCAATGATTATAAAAAAATTCAGCAAGATTAATGCACGATACATTACTTCGCAGACATGCACAATTTGCTCTTTTGTTGTAATTCATAGAAGTGGAATTTTAACTCACATATTTATGTAGTGATATATTATATATTAATAAATTATTTTTATAACTATTTGAATGACATGCTAGAAAAAAATATCATCTCGAAAATTTAAAATCATTTCCCGACGTACTTAACCACCCAAACCAAGGTACCGTTTCATTTGTGTGATTTAAATATTAAACAGTTCAAATTTTCGTATGAATTAGGCAACATAAATTCTTCGCATTCCAGACGGGACTGAATTCAAACACCGCTTCGAGCTTAATTATCACGAACATACCAACGTCGAATTTGTCCGGGTTCAGGTCCACCCCAATAATCCTCTTAGCCCCACGCATCCTCGCCCCTTGAGCAACCTGCAGCATGCAGTAGCCAGCACACAGTCGTACATTAGGTCATTAGCTCGATGAGACGTCGACATTGCATTAAAATTAGATCAGCACAGAGACGATCGATCTACTATGACCGTATTTAGTTCACTCCAACTGCCCTCAACTTTTAACTTTTCATTACATCGTATTTCAACTTTTCATCATATCACATTACATCCAAAACGTTGCTACACATATAAACTTTTAACTTTTTTTAAAAACTTTTAATTTTTTTTAGAACTAAAACACAGGCTATGCATCAGCTGCAGTTGGGCACCGGCAACTCTGGTCCAAGCCAAACACGAACACTAACTTCTCAGTTTGGTGGTCTATATCAGAGTTAAGCACTGTCGTTAATTACCGCTAACCCAACGGCACCCAGGCCGAACACGGCGACACTCGAGCCGGGCTCCACTGCTGCCACCTTCCATGCCGCACCAACACCTGCACGCACCAATCAAAGTCGCAGTCAGAAATCGATCCGATAACACACGACTGCGTGTACTGCGCCAATGGGAGCCATGCATCCGCTACTGTAGCGGCAGAGACCACATGCCAAACAACTGCAGTTAAGGCTGAGTTCAAGTAGGAGCACACATCTTGCTCCGCGTCTTCTAGAGCTAGCCAAACAGTTTTAGTTTCACCTAAAATAGCAGTGTAGTTGGATAGAACGTTGTTATAAAATAAATTAGTGAGGTGGAGCTGGGTTTAGGTCCACCCCTATAGTTCAATTTTTTTGAGAGAGCTCAATCCAGCTCCACTCCCATTTTAAGTGGAGCTGAAACTGTTTGGCTGAGCTTCAGCTCTAGCTCCAGAAGAGATGGAGATAGAGCTGGAGCTGTGCTAAACCGATCCTCACTCCAGACTCAACTCACGTAGCTAAAATTAGGAGTTGAAACTTTGCCAAACAGACCCTACGTATATTGGCTTGGCCTTATACACAACGAAAACAAGTTGTTAGTGTATGATTAAATTGAGAATTAACTATTCTAAATTTGAAAATTATTTTTGTTTTTTAAAACTTCTGTAGAGAAAATATTTCATAAAATATATCATTTAGCAGTTTGGAAAGTCCTCTCGAAATAAGAAAGTTGTTGTTTTGAACCGATGAATAGAACTCAACTATAAAATACTTGAGGCAGAAACCACTTTAAAGTTTGTGTTTTTTTCTTCTTCTGTTTTTACCGGTGGAAATGCCACAACTGAGGAGGCATGCCATCGCCGGTGGGAATCCAACATCGAGCTTGACAATGTGGGTGATGTCAACGACGGTGTACTCGGCGAAGCTGGAGACGGAGAGGAAGTGGCGGATGGGCTCGCCGGTGGAGACGGAGGAGAAGCGCGTCGTGCGGTCGCGAGGCATGAGGCCGGCGACGTTGGGCAGTTTGGAGCAGAGGTTGCTGCGGTCGGAGAGGCAGTCAGGGCACTCACTGCACTGCGCGGCGAACACCGGCACCACCATGTCACCCACCGCCACCTCCTGCACGTGCTCCCCCACGCTCTCCACCACACTGGAGAAAATAAATGTATGATAAAATTATGGCACACGGTTGAGCTACAGCTAACAATTAACAAGTATTAGAAAAAAAACACGAATAATGGACGGTTTTTTATATAGAAAATATCTCTATTTGTAATTATTTGAAAGTCAAAGGTAGTAAATAGAGTATGATGAAAAAATAATATAAAATCAGCTTATATAAGTTTCAAAACTCAAGTTGTATTTGATTGTGACCGATAAACCAACTGACAAATAATAAGAGATAAAATATGTTTAACTTGTTCATAAGGTGTTTCTTAGGTATTATTGTTTTTATTTATATGTATCTCTTCAATAAGACAATAGCATTACGACTTACACATATACACTCCTATCTTAAAAAAAACCTTCAAAAACAAGAGACAAGAGAGAAACTTGCTAGAAGGAAAGAGATAAGGAATAAACCGGTAAAATAACCCATAAAGTAATTTTCTCTAAATCATATAGTTGGGATGAGTAACTTTATGTGTAACACATTGCGGATAAATGGACTCAGACAGCGATTGAGATCTGCACCACAACTCATCCCAACTCTTAGAACTCCTCAATAGGTGATTCCAGAAGTCTGATCATAGCTGCTAGTACGAGCCTAAATCAAACTCTCTTTTTTTACGGTTTTAAAAAAAAACTTTTTTATATCAATTTGTGGATACTCCATAGTCAGACGATTTCTCCATCAAGCGTTGCTGATTAGTAGTTACTCACTCCATTCTAAACTGATCTACATATAATTTTTTTAATTATTCCTAAATAATCTACATATTTGTGTTCATTTATTAAGTCTATTCGTTATTTGTGCATTGGAGTAAATGGACATTGATACATGCATACATGCACACAAGTATTTATAACCCACATGTAATATCTTGATTTGCTATTGGCTAGAAAATAGTGGGAATCGTGCATGCATTGAGTTTGATGCTAGAGTAAATATAGTATGAGAGAGTTATTAGCTTTTCTTGGTCTTGGTGTACCTATGAAATATGTAAATCAATTTGGAATGGATGTAGTATACTCCCTCCGTACTCGTAAAGGAAGTCGTTTAGAATAGCGACACGGTCTCCAAAACACAACTTTGACTTCTTGTTTCTATAAAAATATTTATTAAAAAATGATATATGTATACTTTTATGAAAGTATTTTTAAGACAAATCTATTCATATAATTTTTATAGAGTAAATTGCATCAATGGTACACGAACTTGTCAGGTGGGTGCAATCTAGTATATAAACTTGTAAAACGCTCATTTTGATGCATGAACTTGTTTGATGCGTGTGAACAAGGTCAAAATCGCACGGCAAGGTTAATCTTACTAATTTTGTTATTGATTTAAACTCTATGTAAACATGTGTCTAAGAAAGATAAACATATAATAAGGCGTAATGATCGCATAACAAAAATAATGCAAGTAGTAATGCAAGGATAAACACAAAGAAAGATAAAGTGAAAACTAAGTTTGCAAATATAACTTTTTCTACTATGTGCACGGACGTTATCTATTAATTTATAATTTATAATGTTCAACATAGAAAATTCAGTCTAGTCATGTCATTTTAGCCTTAGCTTGCACGTACCAAATAAGTTCATGTACCAAAACAAGCATTTTACAAGTTCATGTATTAGATTGCACCCACCTGACAAGTTCGTGTACCGCTGATGCATTTTACTCTATAATATTTTCAAACTCAACAACTTGAGAGTTATTCATGATTTAGGGCCTGTTCACTTTGATGCTAAAAAAACCTTACCAAATTTTGGCATTGCCAAAATTTTAGTATAGTTGCCAAAATTTTGTCAACTTGCTAAAATTTTGGCAAGATTTCTTATATAGTTACCAAAAATTGGCAGCAAACTAAATGTAGCCACTTTTTTGCAACTTTTACTAAAATTTGGTAAGGTTGAAAATGGCATCAAAGTGAACATGCCCTTATATTCCCAAGGTTTGACTTAAACATTGTCCTAAACGAATTTCTTTACGAGTACGAAGGGAGTATATAATTGTGATACTCCTATCTAATATCTACGCTCACCTAGCCACCTCAACATGCAGCTGTGTCCGTTAATTGATTGCTGCATTGATAGGATGTTAGAGGATCAAACTTAGTGGTTTGTCACACTAAGGGCACCCGCAATAGTTATCTATAGGCTCTCTACAAGAGATCCATATCAGCATATTTTTCTACTTGGAAGAGATTAAATGAAGAGAGAGAGCAAAGCTATCTACTAACCTGGAGATAGTCTATAGAGAAAAACAAGGCAATGCATTAGAGAGCTATAGATACCCATGTAGACGTACTATTGAAGTGGTTTACTATTAATCTAGTCTATTACTGAGATGTACATATTTTATAAATAGCACATTACTTTACTATTGCAGGTGCTCTAATAACTATCACATGGTTTTCGGACGGCGGGCTGGGCATCGACATCCACACATTTTATCTCAGCTTTACGCGCAGGAGCCGGAAATCGTCAATCACCCGTTGCTGGATTGTCTTTTCGTTGTTCGGGGCTTAGTTTTTCGCCTCACTGTAAAATCCTCTGTGATCGCTACGACAAGTCATCGTTATGTTTAATGCTTTTCTAATATATTGACCTGCAAAACTTTTACGCCTCGGAAAAAAATTATACTGTCTTTCCTGGTCAGGAAGGACGTACTCCTAAATTAAATTACTATAGAGACCTGACTACGATTAGGTAAAGGCTAATTAGATGATTAGTTCACCCAAAACTTGGCAGGCAAAAGATAGAGAATAAAATGCTTAGTACGGTCACCATTTTTCTAAGCCACCTTATCTACGCCAATGCGACGACTATCCCTAATGTCAGCTGGAATATCTCATAAGGACACGCCAGGTAGAGGTTGTTGACAATGATTATTGCAACACAAGCTTTGGATGCAACCTTCCCCTACGTCCATGGATTAATTCACGATTCATATCTTCTTTTGAATGGTTTATTCCTGAAATTTTTCACGGTCCTACCATGTTCAAAAACAATGTCATTCCTTAGCTGTTGATGCTGTGTGTTCATTACCACGCTACTGATCTGAGGCTCAAAGTCATCTTAACACCGACGCAGGATCAAACTCATCAGGAAGAGCACAAAACAGTACAAAAGGCGAATAATACTAGTACATACGTGCAGTGGATCGGATCAGAGAGTATGTTCAGAATCAGAAGCGTGGAATGTCTCTATGTTTATAAGAGCTATATAGTTTAATTTGTTTGATTACGTACCCGACTGCTTCATGGCCAAAGATAGACGGATGATTGCCTTCCTACAAATGAGAAGAGAGCTATGAGCCTATGAGTATAACCTCATCATAGAGAAGCAAAATAGTTCTTGGTTGCTCTCAATTCTAGACGGATCACATCTGAATTTAAATACGCAATAACCTGAATTTAAGGGAGAAAGAACTGAAGAATTCATGGTTACCATACGCCAGAAGGTGATGTCCGTGTGGCAGATGGATGTGCAGAGGATCTTGATCCGGACCTCGTGCGCCCGCGGCGGCGCCACCTCCACCTCCTCCATCTCCAGCGGCTGCCCGGCCACCCTGCTCACCGCCGCTGCACGCCGCCGTCGACGGCACAGAACGTCTCGTCAGAGAATCAGCCAACGACGCCATTGCAAAACTCGATCTCAGATGCTAGCTCACCTCTGCACCTGATGGACTTTGCAGCAGCAGTGTTCATCTGCTCCATTTCCAGGAAGCTAGCCTCTCCCCTCTATCCTTGTTGGTGTTTGGCTGCTACTCCAACTTCGTGGTTGTCTTATTTAAAGATCGCGTTGGAAGCTGGAAAACGAAAGGCAGGCAGCTTCAGCTGTATATCACGCTATGATATACTCGTATATCTTCTGAAAGCGAGTGGTCGTGAAAGGGGAGCAGGTGAAAGGGGATCAGGTTTTATCGTCGTCGTTTTTTGGACTTTGTTGTGTGTTGGGTACGTACGGTGATCGGCTACGTGCCTCCCTGTTCGTCACCGCTCATGTACATATGCACTCATGTGACTCATCGTGTTCACGCATTACATCATCCAAACGCATGGCCCGTCTGGTACTACAGAAATTAACTGGGCTGGAGGCTAGCCATCAGGGAGTGGAATCCAAGAAATGTTTCCTTCAGATTTTGTGAACAAGAACATTTGGTAATGTTGATGTTGAGGGAAGGTTGTGACTTGTGAGGGTGGCGAAGTGGGAGTTGTGGCGTCAGCCAATTAGGCCATTCCCAACCCAATGACTATAATAGTGTCTATAGTATTAAATAAGCTGTCACCTAGAATGAAAAATGATGTGGCAAGTGAATAAATGAGGAAAGAGAAGGAGACCATGTCTTGCATGAGACATGGTTTCTACACAATATCCAAGACATCGTGTGAAATAAGTAGCATTAAATTTAAGTATAGAATATTGATGTTTGTATAGGAATAGTAGTGTCTAGTACTAGTTTTTTTTAGTAATGTGGAGTTTATAGAAACTATGTGTATATTTTGGGGAATGGCCTTAGACAAGGCTTAGCAGCGATAAGGCATGATGTGTCGACTGATCGTCACCTGTAGCAGTCTTGAGGTATCTTCTCTTGTAGTGTTTTTTTATCATATAGTAGGAGTAGTAGCGTGCCTTTCTTCTGGTGTTCAGGTGTTGGCGTCTTCAGGCCGGCCGTCCATCAGTCGTTGTCACCTTGTCTTGTCTTTTGTCTTCCCCTTGAGGTTCACTCTATCTGTTCACTCCTTGAAATGATTGGATGTGTCTTTCTAAACAAATCATCATAAGTTGAGTACATGAGTTACAATTAGGCCCATTAAGCTTGGTGAAAAATTTTCACCGTAGGAATAAATTCACGGGAGGTCCTTAACTTAACAGCGAGATTTTTTAAGGTATGTTAACCACAAACCAGAAATGTGTACCCCTAAACTCACACAAACTAAGCACACAAGGTTCTATAGCAGTATAGATGGACGGTTTCGCTAACGTGGCATCCTAATCAGCAAAACAAAAAATTAAAAAACTGCGGGACCCACATGTAAGTGAGAAAAAAAGGGACCCACATCTCCTCATTCTTCTCTTTTCTTCGTTCTTCTCTCATGGTCCCGACGAAATGAGGCACGCCGCCGCCATCTCCCGCGGTCGCGGCGGCGGACGGCGGGAGCATGCGCGCGGGCGACGACGTGGGCACAGGTACGGCCACCGCCGCGGCAGCGGACTGGAGCGAGCGGGCGATGACGTTGGAGTCACGCGGAGAACAGCGGAGAAGGCGAGTGAGGCGGGCGGCGACCTTGCTCCCGTTCGCGTGAGGCGTCGGCGTCACCTTCATCCTCCGCAGCGATTTCCCCGACGAGCTAGCGGAAGAACCGGGTCGGCGGGCAGGCGGCGTCGAGGCTAAGCGTCAAGCATGGCTCCGATGGAGCGGCACGTCTCGGTGGGCGGGTGGAGCAGGAGGGGCGGAGCGGCGGCTGGCAAAGGAGGAGCCAATCGGCCACACCGCAGTCATGCTCTTCCACGCGCCCGCCGCTGTCCATCGTCGCTTCGCCCGCCGCCCCCCATCATCGCTCTGCCGGCATCCCGGCGCCGCTCCGCCCGCCGTGCTCGCCCACCGCCGCTCCGCTGCCGCACGGGCCTCTGCCGCTCCCGAGGGCGGAGGCAGCTGGATCCGTGCGCCGGCGGAGGCAGTCGCCCACGAGCTCGTCCACCGCGAGGGTCCGTGGAGGCGCCGTTCTTCATTGCCGTTGGCATCGTCCATCATCGCCACCACGGGGGCCCGTGGTGGCGTCGTCCATCATCGTCGCCATCATCGTCGATTCCAAGGGCCGCCGCCAGAAAGCGGAGTCATCCACCGCGGGGCATTCGCCGCCGCCTTCGGCTCTGCCGCAACCGCGACGGCCCACCCACAAGCCAGTGTTCGCCGGGGGCTCCCCATTTGGTGGCTTCAGCGGCGGCGGCGCTGCTCTCCGAAACTGCTGCCACACTGGTCGAGTCCGCCGCCGCCGCCCGCATCTGCCCGCCGGCCTCCCTCAGTGAAGATGAGAAGAGAGAAGAGGAGAAAGAAAATATAATGTGCAGCTGACATGTGGGCCCCACATATTCCTTTTTATTTTTTTTGCTGACTAGATGCCACGTCAGCGAAACCACCCATCTATTTGTGTGCACGGTTTGTGTGAGTTTATGGATACATATTTCTGGTAGTTAAGGGACCTAAAAAATTTCGCTATAAGTTGAGGGACCTCCGGTGAACTTATTCCTTTCACCGTATAGGTCCCATGGCCCATGTGTTCATCTTACATGGGCTAGGCTTTATACTTTCCTGTCCAATGTGAGGCGGCATTTTAATTCAGAGCAAGTCCACTTTACGTTCCTCATATTCGTATCGAGTTTAAACAGTATCGTTAAATCTCAATACCGAAATTCTTAATACCACAAAGATGCAAAACTGGATAAATTAGATACACGGCAGTACGGATGATTGGTTTCGTTGACATGGTATCGTAGTTAGTAAAAAAAGTTTTAAAAAAATACGAAGCCTACATTGTAAGTGATCATCTTACCTTCTTTCTTTACTTCCTCTCTCCTCCCTTCAATCCCTCGTCTCATCCATGGTACGAACTACAGGAACCAAGATCAATCTGCACATACACCAACCCGCTAATTGCCAGCACGCAACGTAGAAAAGCATTGAGCAATCAACGAGATAATTACTGCACCGAACACATAGATTGAATGCATCAGACGAACCGAAACCACCAAGAGACACGTAACAAAACGGATAGGCCTCCTGTACACGATCGAATCGGGAGAAGAAATCACCTGGGACGCGGCCGTCGACAGAAGACTGAACTCGGGAAGACGGCACCAAAGACATGATCGATTCAAGAGACGGGACAAACCTGGGGACGCGACCGTCGTCCCTCGGCGCCGGCAGCAGATCAAACACGAGGAGAATGGACAGCGCCGTGGAACGCCTTGGGCGCTCCGGACTCGGGAGCATGGTTCACAGTTCCGACGAAAACCGATCAAATTCCACAAAATTTCGTTAAAGCCGACCGGTTTACGCAAGCTTATCGGTAAACTCAGAGAATTTGTATTCAATTTTTGGTTTATGAAATTTGTTCGGAATCTATTGACTTTTCACTGGATTTCGTGAAAACAATCATTATATTAGAGCCCGAAACGAAAGGTCACATCGGAATCGTAAACCCTCCTCGGGAGGCGGCATGGGGTAGGAGAGATGGCGTGCACGCGGGTGGCTGCCAGCACACGGGGATGTGCCTGCGTCCAACACGGTGGAGCACACGCCGAGGCGGCACAGGAGTGATCGCCGTGGCTAGGCCGGATTGAGATCCCCACGATGACGATCTCCTCTTTCCTTTGGATAAGAGAGGAATAAGGTGAAGTGATCACTTAGATATGGATTCCATATGTTTTTTTTTAAAGTTTCTCTTTACCGGCTAGGATACTACGTCAGCAAATCAATCATCCATAATATAATGGGATCTAATTTAGGCCAATTTTGCAAGTTAGGGTGCCAAGATTTTCGGTATTGCAATTCAGATATGCAATTTAAAATTTATGAACTCGACACAAAGTTGAGGGATGTAAGTATTTGCGATTGTTGGGCTGTTCACGGGTTCTGTTTTGAAGTCGAAGTCCATATTTGCGATTGAACCTGGGCTGGATGGCGCCGTGACTTGGGCCATACGGGACTATGTTTTGGAAGAAGCACACGTAGCATAGAATTGAGCACCGCAGTGACACACACGGACACACCTAGTACATGCTTTTGTAACACTCTTACAATAGACAAAATTCAGAAATAAATCATTAAACCTAAAAAAGTTGTATGAATCATACACATGCCTATGCAAGTACCCGTACCAAAATTTCAAGGCAAACACTTCCACTCACTCCAGGTTGATAATACTTATCGTTTTAGATAAGGGCACGGTTTTCAAGAAACAACTTTGACCATTATTTCTTATTATAATATATATATAAATGTTAACGATATATGATTTTAGTGAAGTACTTAGTATTTTTGAAGACTAATCTGTGCATATAATCACCATATTTCAAAAAGACAAATATTTTATAAATTATTCACAACGAAAAATTTTAATGTTTTATCTTACCCTTGTTTAAAAGGATAAGAGTATTATCAGCTTGGAGAGAGTAGCTACGAACCTATAAACTTATCCCGGAATAAAAATGTCCCCAATATCATCATATCCGGATATCCCCTGTATTAGACCACGGTCTATCATCATTCATTTTCCGAAGAAAAAATATCCAACGTTCCGACCCACCACCACCACCAAGCATGCACCGGCCAATCGTACGTACCCGGTCCGCCGTCCTCCGCCACTTTCCTCCGCCGCCCGCCTTTCCCATCCCCACCAAAAACACGGTTTCCCCTTTTCCCCTTCCGCTGCCGACGTCCGTAGAAACAAACGGCAGCTAACCACTGCACTATTCCTCTCATCACCTCGTTTCGTTGGTTTGGAAAGACACACTGCCCTGCACTGCACTGCGAGGCGCCGCGACCGCGACCGCGACTGCGACCCCGAACTTTCTTTTCGTTATCCCGCGCGCGGCGCGCTGCCGGTAGACTAGACCAGTGGTTGGTTGGTTGGCTGGCCGCTCGATCGATCGGGCGTGCGTGCGTCAAATGCAAACGCGAGATTGCGTTGCGGAGCCCTGCGCGGGACGGCCGGGACGTCGGTTCGCGAGTCGCTTTCTCTCATCTCTTTTCGCGGCGCGTTCGCCTAGCGATCGACCTGAGCTAGCCGCGCGCGCATGCACGGTCTCTGCCACCGGCCGTCGTCCTTGCCTTCTTGGTTTCGAATACAGGATAAGGATAGGCA